TTGTTTGTTTTATATTCACGTCTTTCCGGTCGCCGGTCCAAATCACGATAATGTTTTATTAGAACCGAGAGGTTTTCTCTATACTTGAAAGTGCAAGGATTCTACCTCAACATCATCCCTATGACTTTGATATTTTAAAATTAATCAATCAATATATTCAACTACACCATTTAACCCGCTAGCAAATTCACATCTTAGACTTTCTCAGACACTTAACAACAAACATATATGAATTAATGCATGAATACTTTATTGTCCACCACATATAAAAGGATAAACAAAATTAATGGAATTCATATATATTGTAGACCATCTCAAAGCTCACCAGTTAAATAGGGCATGGGAATTAACGGATGCTTACTGTCAACCTCCACGTTAGTCCCAGGTGGATGTTTTCATAGACCTTGCGTAGACTTCATTAATAATAAAGGAGCATAGTTAATGAGGCTCAATTACATCGGTTCCACGTCCTCGTGTAACAGATATTAAATAAAAAGATCGCGTCTATCGATTTTCATTTACCTTTAAGTATAGAGCGAGCCCTTAACAATTGACAATTTTATTTTATTCAAATGGAACAATATTTATTTACTGCAAAAAAAAATTATTATTTAGAGTTTTAGATATTATTTAGATACGAATTTAGACTTGCTAGGTTCTTGTCGGTTAGAATATGTCTATTATCGAAAGATTTTGGTTTAAGAATAGTGGTAACTTACGAACTTGTATATCAATTATTATGTAAAACTCGACGTTTCATATGAACGCGCAAGCGTCTATTTGAATAAAGATATTTTGAATTTTGAATAGAATTGAGTAAAATATGTTGACTTTGACTTAGAAATAGTTTAAAACTGATTTGATGTAAATCTGCTTGGTTTTTAATACGGAACAAATTATCTCTATTTAACAAAGAACAGCAATTTAATATACTTTCCGTTGCTTGGCTAACTCGTGTGATGTTTATACAATATCCCTTCGTTGCGACCAGATAAAGGAATTACGTGGGATAATAGATCCTCCGTTCGACATAATTATGAACAATGGCTAAATACTAATCGTTTTCCTTATTCGGTGTACCGCCGAAACGTATGCAGTTCATACCCCATGCGTCATCGAAGGTATTTGTAGTTAACAATAGTGTAATAAGATACGACTTAAAAAAATCAAATAAATTACTTTATCGTAGATTTTTTGATAGAGATAACGAGCATCAGCGAAATTCCATAAACCTGTGACGTTTTTGAACGTTTCGTTAAGGTTAAAATTTCGTGATTAACGGACGCATTGGGCGAAGAAAAAAAGAAATAATGACGTCTAATTATATTATGGTGGAATGAAACAGTAAAGTCCAATCATATTACATCATTCTTGTCATCACCATGTCATATAAATATTCATTTTTTTTGGCGAGTACAAATTATTACACAATAAATGTTTTATGTGATGTTCTCTTACATTCGTCGTCTTCTTTTTTTTTCGGTTGCGCATATTTTAATTATGGATTTTGTTTAACGTTAATATTTTTTTATGATTATTGGCAAGTAGCGTTAGACGTGTCTTCATTTATTGTTGCGATGGTAACGACACGCTGTATAGTAAGTGAGTGATACCATATACAACATGGCTTGTTCAAAGGTCAAGGAGACAACATCGATTTTAGTATAAAGAAAATCGCAAAAGCTTTGCTATTTATGTTGACTTTTTTACTTTTCTAAAAAAAATATTGATGAATAATGTTTTAAAACGGAAAATGGCGGTATAAGTTTTCTATATGGAGAAATTCGAAGACGTTAATTTATAATGTTTTAAAACATTCTATAATAATAGTGTACAAGTTTAATTGTATTTGTATTTGTACTTAAACAAGTTTATTTGTACGCCATTGAGTTTTCTCTTTCACTACCAATCTAAACGTAACAAATGTTTCAGTAATAAAACGCAACATTACTCCTGACGAAATTTGGCTACATATTACTCAAATTAATGTAAATATCTTATTTATATTTAGAAATTTCGATATTTTTAGAACAAGCTTGAAGAAAATTGTTGATAGCCTGACATATTTGCTAAATAGACGTAATTGATGTATTAAGTTTGTATATTCCTTAGTACTTCAGAAAACTTAAGTTAAAACAAATTATTAGTCAGATTTATAAGATTTAAATTTTTATAGTGCTTATTTCTGCACTTAATAATAATAAAGTTAATAATAATATAATAATAAAATAAACTTAAGACTAAACATTAAAATTCTTCTAGAAAAAAGTACGAAAAGTTTCTCTCCGCTGTGGGACTCGAACCCACGTCTTCGGGATTCGCGCCCTGACGCTTTAGCCACTAAGCTAAATGGCTTTAGCTTAGTGGCTAAAGCGTCAGTGCACGTTGTTTTTTAGCATTTGAAGCAGTGCTTGACGCATCCATTGTTATATCCTTTTTTTACAAACAATTTCGAATATCCTTTTACAACGATAATTCGAACAGACTTATAAGTATATAAATCTAGTAATAATCGTAGAGGAGTTCATAAATATTTTCTATGTACAAGCATATTTGTTCATAGTCAAAGCATCGCCTATTAAATCGTCGTAAAATTAATAAAATCAAACGTTATTAATTTTACGACGCGCTTGAAAAATACAAATTAACAAAAGTTATTTTCGCATATTGCTACAATAATAATTTCAGTGACTGATACTGGCGTGACTTTTAACAATCGTGTAACATCAATTCGTTAAGGTGCCTCTGAACGACGCAGTTTGTTTCATACATCTTTATGAGAGCAAAATTTATTTCCATCATTCAAAATGTACACTTATTAATTCTTTCAAAAGTCAATGAAATTTATCACATATTAAAGGTATTAATAATTGACATAAAATATTACTGTAGAATTGAAAAAAATCAATGTGAAAATAATTTTATTCTAAAATGTATCATTTTAGAATAAAATTATTAAAAAGTTAAAACCTATATAGGTAATATTCTTTCCACATTAATAAGAACTAGTTAAAATTATAATTTGATAAATGACTATTTTTGATACATATATTTAAATTCAGAAACATTTATATAGACATTTAAAGCACAAACATAAAAAAATTTATTTAAAAGTCTGAATTAAACTATAACCCGCTCTTTACACGCCTACATACCTTTTGTGGCAGTCTTGTTATGTACAATTTTCTCCTCATTTTCATATATTTAATGAATATGGAATACTAATCACCAATACACTTATAAAAAGAACCATGTTTTTCCACAAATTAAGTTGAGAAAACTGTATCTATATTTATAAATGCAAATGTTGCAGAATGTTAACTGATTGCCTCAGTAACCTATAGACTACAGTCAGTGTTAGTCACCCACTTTCATGAAAAATGTCTGTCTCGTTTGAGCTTAAGCCTTGAAGATAAGATAGTGGCAGTTCCTTGAATTAATGGGGATGTCAATTACCTGGCGATCCTCATTATCTATTGTTAAATCCATTTTAATCCAGAAAAAGTCCATTATCTAGTTTTATTGTCTTGAGCACTATCAATATATACCACTTACAATGCTAAGACCTTTGTTTATTTACTGCTTTTTGAAGGATGTGGAGCCTTTATGTGTGCAGTTATATTGAGCAACTTAAGACTACAACATTCAACAAACTACGGAAATATATAACAACTGCATGTAGTTGTGAATGAACATGCATAAACTACAAAAAAAAATAGGGGTGAAACAAGACAATTGTAGAGTGCACATAAGAGAAATTGTGCTAGCTACAATAAAAATTATAACGAATCTTACAAAATTACGATTTTCGTGGGGCTCCTCCTGCAAGATAATGGGGGAGTTTATCAGAGGGTCCCGATCATCTCCGGGGCGGCCCTCCGATGCTCCCCCGTCTGATCGGTTACGGCAGGCATCACATCTCCTCATTTCTACGCATACTTCTTAACTTCGGACTGTAGTTTTGAGTCCTTCAGTATGCAAATAGCAAATTACAATGTGTTCATAGTTTAACATAAACAAAAAGAAACATATGAAAAAATCTATTGGAAATTTTATATTAACAATACATTATTGTAGCATAAAACACGTAATATATGTAATAAAATACCTCATTATCACTCTCTAGTAAATATTCCTCCATAACACAAACTTCGTACTTTGAATATTGTGTCCACTAGTGACAACTGAATGAACTACACCCATTATAGGTGATGGGATGTGTTTACTAAATACAATAAGATAGTAGTCGTTTCTATAATCTATCAGGCATAAATAAAACAGTATTGTATGCAAATTAAATATTCCATCAGTAGCGAAAATAATGACGTTATATCAATCATAACAATCGCAAACACAAGAGCATGAAATTTTTAAAGTATCAATTACAACTAAAATAGTGAAGATACATAATAATTAGGTCTACTCACTACTATTTGTTGGTCTCAGTGAAATGTAGACGAATTCCATAGAATTTATTCCCCTATTCAAATAACTAGCTCCATTTTTGATAGGGGATGGACGAAACCGCTAACGAAATGTCTTATTTCCTGGTATATACTTAGAAATATACGTTAGGAAATACAAAATTGAACACAATGTGCTTACTTCTTTGCTGACAAATGTGACATTTTTTATAGCAATGCCAATGGTCCGCATTAAACTGTAACGAAGGTTACCATTGCTTATTTTGCACAGATTACATATTCATATCTCATTTATATATTCAAACCTTTCAACCTAAAAGTTTCCTTTGGTATTAAATAATTTTCAATGTTGGAATTTAAAAATCGTATATGTATACATAACGAAACTTATTCTATTATGTCTAAACTATTATCATTAAATATTTAGTATGTGGGCTCATTTTTCTATAGCTACATACTATAATTAAAAAAGCAAAAAAAATAACCGAAACGTCTACACGTCATCTTTGTATAGAGTGTTGTCAAATACTTTGAAATTTATTTTTATCTTTCGATTTATAATACTGTTCAATAAAAATGGTAATTGTTTGAATTTGATAAATATATATCATATTTCCTTGGTGCAAATATATAATACGTCGTTAGATAAATTATAACTAATAATAGTGTGTTTTCGGCAAATATTTCAATACAATTATGTGCTTACAATGTTATGATATTATTCCAGGTTCTCATAGCAGCTACAGTATGTACGAAATCGGGGAAAGGTATTACGAACGCTGGCAGCCTGCTTAGTACAATTTGTTGGACATTTAAAAATAATGCTTTGGTTTTGTCTGTTTCAGCATTGGTCTCCCGACAGTTTGTCGAAATGACGAAAGCACGTATAGAAGGCTTGCTAGCGGCATTTCCAAAGCTCATGACAGGTGGTCGACAACATACGTTTGTAGAAACAGAATCAGTGAGGTAATAACTTACCTAATTTTCATTCAAATAACACCGGGTTGATTTTTAATTATGCCTACATTTTTAGGTATGTGTATCAACCGTTGGATAAATTGTATATGTTACTGATAACAACTAAGGCTAGTAACATTCTAGAGGACTTGGAGACGTTGCGACTTTTTAGCCGTGTTGTAAGTTCATTTTAATTATTTCTTATTTCATACATGAGAAACCATTTAAGGATTTTAACATTTACATGATTTCATCATTTCAGCCTGTTTGAGTCCACCGCTGAATGTAGGCCTCAAAGCAAGATCATGAACCACTTGCCAAATGGCTTAATATCTGAAAATAGATCTGTAAATTTCTAAGTCCATCAAAAGCACATGGCTTAATACCCTACCTAAATTATTTATCATAGCCTGATTTTTAATAGTGACTTTTTTTTTGTTTCCCCACAGGTCCCAGAATACTGTACACAGCTAACAGAAACTGAGGTTCTGAATCAGGCATTCAACTTGCTCTTTGCATTTGATGAAATTGTTGCACTGGGTTATAGAGAGAGTGTGAACTTAGCACAGGTAAGGACATTAACTGCAAATACATAAAGTGAATATAAATCAAACAATTTAGACAAAACAAAAAAAAAAATTATAACTGTGCAGTATTTTATTTTTGTATGACATTTGTAAACAGTACTAACTATCATGATTTGTTGCTTATTTAAGTTTTTTTTTACAGGTTAGGTCCTTTGTTGAAATGGATTCTCATGAAGAAAAGATTTACCAAGCAGTGAGACAGGTATGTCATCATCCTAATGAATTTAAGCATGTTCAAAAATAGTTATATATATTTAGGTGTTAACAAGACCCTGTGTCAATGACCCAATGACATACAGATGTTTGTTGAATTACTATTTAACTATTAAAAAATATATATATATCTTTATTTAAGTCATTAAAGTTTAAAGAACAACAATTTTTATATTTATGAAATACTTGATATGTGTGTTTTCCATGGAGAATTAGGGCAAGTGGTGTGGTGTAGTTGTTAATATTATACTTGGCTAGTTAAGAATGTTTTTGATGTAAATCAAACTCTTATAAATGCTTAACCTGTTCATTAATTGTTCCTTATAGACTCAAGAAAGGGAAGCGGCTAATCGTATGCGGGAACGCGCTAAGGAACTACAGAGAGAGAGATTGGAGGCAGCTAAGAGAGGGCAAACCAACCGTTCCAACATATCTTTCGGTGAGTGTTCTTATGCCAAATAGCATGCAAGGTTTATTTGAACTTCAGCAAAGAAAATCGTTTTAGCAATAATCAAATAGTTTACTACTAATAGACTAATAGATTATTTTAAAAAACAAAAAATAATACAATTTTTGGTTGATTGCCCCACATTTTTATTACTAAATGTACATAATTATTAAAATCCATTTTGCTATCCAACAATAAAACATGTATAGCGTTTGTAATTGGATTCAAAATAATGCTAGTTTTGACTCTGATGATTTCTGATAAGTCACTAATTTGTCAGATTTGAAAGAAATTAAGTCAAATGCCGTTTTGACTAAAAGAGTTTTCATATTTTTGATGCTTTGTGTTGCATAAAAAGTAATTAACTTCACACCATTTTTAGACATCTAATTAGTGTTGTACCAGTAATAATGAGGCTGGGGACAGTAAACGAACAGACACTGTATGTATGTATAGACTGTAGAGATAAAGTAATTGCAGTGTTGGTAGTCAACTTCTCCTTTTTGACTACAAATATTTGTCGGCCTTTATAGGTTTATTGATATGTGCACAAACCGCCTCAATTCCATTCAAACAGAAGTTGCAAATGTACAATTTATGATACGCAGGTGGCGGTTTCGGAAGCTCCTCTATGCCACCTTCGGCCTCTGGCGAGCCAATCGCGGAGAAGATACCAACAACACCAGTGCGAGAGACGTGAGTCATCCCTAAAGTTTTTTATGTGAGAAGGTGGCTTGGTTGGTGGTTTTTATGTGGGTAAGTGATAACCACCGCCTATGGGCCCCAGTTACCTCAATCACAATGTGATAGTTACAAGCGGTATTCCTCCATCTAGACCCAAAGCCAATGCATTCAGTCTATTCCTGATCTAGAGCAAAGGAGTTAAACAATCGGCTTTCTGTTAAAGTACAATGCTTGTGTCTTCAAAGTGTGCGTATACCTCCTGTGTCCTCCTCGCTGTGTCATGAGAATATCGCACCGTGGCAGAAGTTGAACCAAGCGGCGATGCCATTTTCCAATCCAAAAGGCTTTATATTAAAACAGTCTATGAACTAAAAAGCATCAACAAACGCGAAACTTGTGAGATACACCGTACCAGTTTGATACGGCCCTCCGCGTTGGGTAAGGCATTATACGATATAAGCCGGTGTTTTCTCATACCTATATTATATAAACTTATATTATATAAACTTAACCCGGTCACGCTTCGGTGTGGGTTTTTTTTATCGTTTCCGTTAGGCCTTCCTATTGCAATATATTGGCTAGTTTTCGAGTTTTGTGAACAGAAACATACATAAGCTAAACTTTTATATATAACTAACTACCCGCCCCGGCTTCGCACGGGTGGTTATTGTCATTTTAATGTATTTTTTTACCACGGTGTGTGCAATATAGGTTATTTATTCATTCATTCATGTCATCTGTCTTAGGTTTAGCCAGCGTTTGTAATGTAGGGGCACAAAAATATCTTTGTTACGACATCACTTTACATATCTTTGAATTTCGCAACGGATCCTGATGCAATTTTTTCACTAGATAGAGTGATTCAACGCCGGGGCGGGTCGCTAGTACTACATATAAACCTTCCTCTTGTATCACACATTGCTGAAAACTGCATTGAAATCCGTTGCGTAATTTAAAAGATCAATGCGTACAAACAGCGGGGGCGCCTTTGTTTAATACTGTGTAAAGAAGAATGGTAGCTAACTCCCACTGTTCCATCTCAGGCGCACGACCACGCGCTCTGCGATGAAACTGGGCTCGCGGGGAACGGACGCGGACTCGTTCGTGTCCCGGCTGGCCAAGGAGGGCGACGTGGCCGCGATGGCGCCGCAGGTGGCCGCCATCGTCAAGGACGCAGCGCCCCACGTCGTCGACAACAAGGAGTGAGTGACGACCGACACGTAGATGCGCTTCACCGACAGTGATATGCGCTTGTGCGACACCTAGATGCGCTTGTGCGACGCATTGGTGCGCTTGACCGACACTTATATGCGCTTGTGCGACACCTAGATGCGCTTGACCGACACCTAGGTGCGCTTGACTGTCATCCGGATGTGACGGTCCAACACGTGGAAATTTGGTCTGGGCAATAATGATTTTCAGTCATACGATAGTTTATACGTTGATGTGAGTGATAACCGACACTTAGATGCACTTGACAGACACCTGTATGATGACCCTGATGAAGTTACTGAGATCTGTTAGACATATTTATGATCATTCGATAGTACGCGCGTATTTATTGTATATAGCACACAGCCCTTCGATGACGCTTGACCGAAAACACCGTAAATAATTTCAATCGAATGTATGATGAATTCTATTAATGGCAAACCGTTGTTCAATGACCTACAAAGAGATATTCAGATACTTTTCTTTAATAATTAATTTATTTTATCCTATCCTATCCTAACAAGATAAGTATTTCCACTTGGATAGAATTAATAATAATGTGATGAATTTGTATATGATAAACACTTTAACAAATTACACCATCGGTTTCCCGCAGCATTCATCTGCGATTCGAGGAGAGATTGAATTTCACAGCTGGAAGAGACGGCGACATACAGAACTTTGAGCTTTCAGGTAAACTATTTAATAACCAAGCTCTTACACTCTTTTCACTGATGTATCGATAACATTACCTGACTCTTCCACCCTAAATTTCTGATGTATCAGTATAACTAAAGGAGATTCTTTCTATTCGCAGGCTTACTCACTTTGCGGATTACCAACGAACAGTACGGTCGCATTCATGTGCACATCGACAACAAGGACACAAGACCTTTGCAGTTACAGGTTGGTTAATAAAATCGGTTGATAGAAAATGCAGGCATCTTGGGATACCCATTTGGAAACAAGTTCCTTTCGCTGTACATAATGTATAGACACAAGTAAATAAAAACGGAAAAAAATGCAATTAATTAATATTTATCAACAACTAGTACACAAATATTAACTTATATTTTGTTCTTTTGTTCATTATCTGTAAATCCAATAGTAATAGAATATGTTATATACCTGTTTTTTTTTAAATATCATATATTTTTTATTAATACTATTTCTACATCTAGTGTTTTTACCTTGGGACTATTTTTATTTTTTTCATCTTTCCATAATAAGTTTATTGTAAAAAAAAAACTATTTGTCTATTCCCAGACCCATCCGAATGTAGACAAGGAGGCGTTCCGTTCAAGCGGCGTGATCGGACTAAAACAGGTTCAGCGTCCGTTCCCGATGAACAGCGACGTTGGCGTCCTGAAATGGCGTCTAACGACATCGAGCGATGACAAACTGGCCCCCCTATCCGGTAAGATTCAACTATTAAAATAAACCAACCAAATAGCATTTTGTACCATAAAGCCACGGTAGGCTCAACTCGATATACTCGAGAGATTGAATTAAACTGACAGTTGTAATTATGTGTTTTCAAACTTGACGAACATGAAAGTCACTATATCAAGGATCAGGAACCACACCCCCCGCCAAGAAAAAAAATAATAGGAAGAAAAATGCTTCAGTTTTTATATTATATTATTATATATTTGTGCCATACTACATTTTTTGCATTTTTCAGTTAATTGCTGGCCATCGGAAGGAACCAATGGTGGTTGTGATGTGAACATCGAGTTTGAGTTGGAGCAAGATCACCTTACTCTTGCTGATGTCAATATCACCATTCCTTTACCGTACGTTTTAATTCCCTTTTGGCATCATCATTCAGTTTCACTGAAAATTTGTCTAGCAGGATGATGTTAACTGATTACTGCCGCCCATTTATATCGGCAAGACCATTGATAACTTTTTAAAAGTGCGCCCTGGATACTTCACTCACCAAACGAATCGCTAAAGTATAATACTTTCACTTAACTCCGGTTTCCTGTGAGGCCATGGTACTTCCCCCAATGAGCTTGTCCATTCATACAACATTAGAAGCTGCTGCTTTGCCCTATATACAGGGTGGCTTTAGTTTAGTTTAGGTGGTGTGTTAGTCATGAATGATCGCGCGTAAAATAAATCAGTGGCCCATAAATCACGCACTTTTTGAGATAAGTTCAAAAGAATGTTTTTAATTAATTACAGGCGATTTTAAACATTTATCATTTTTTAAACATTATTTATGTCTAGAATTTAATTTAAAAAAAATGGATACACTTAGAAAAGTCTCCCTGTATTTATTATAATAGGAATGATTCCATTCATGTATTAGAGAGACACTTGATATGGATACTTCATTGTACTACTTTGTATATGTAATTTAATAATACCTTTTGTTTGAACAGATCTGGCAACACTTCCGTAGTGGTCCATCAGTGGGAGGGTAGCTACACACAAAAGGGTCGCAATTTAATATGGAGCATTCCAGTTATAAATAAACAACAGAAAACTGGAAGTCTAGAGTTCACGTAAGTGTAAAACAGTTTCAAAGTAATGAAATGTTACACAAAAATTCACTCCGTTGCTCGCATTTGTTGTATTGATGCCAGTTTCATTCATAATATGAACCATCAAGGATAGAGACAAGGAAGAAGTCTTACACAGAATAAGTTAAAAATTATATATTTCATTGACTTACCTTAAAAATGGAATGTTAAATTTCCTATTTGCAGTCATAGCACCACCAATTAGGGATGGTTTTACTTCATTTAAATTTTGTTACTGTATTACACAGTGTTTATTTTTGTTGAACATTCAAATTTAAAGTGCATATTTTGTAAATTATATATTTCGATTCATGAATTAATATGTATAATATCATCTTAATATGTTTTCTCTAACTTTTATTGATTTTAAACATAATGTATCCATCAGGATTACTTACTTTGTAAGACTTTCGTGAGCCCCCTGCTTGTTAAAATAATACCCGTTAATCGAAAAGATGTGATGATATTTCTAAGACACATTCTTCTAATTGGAAAGAAGTTTTTTTGCGGAGCACGATAGAAGCCATAAGTAACGCAATTACATGCGATACTCGATTTTACTAAAAGTAAACTAATGATTTTAATAATAAATACATACATAATTATAATATACAAAAAATTTCAATGCTTTTACAGCTCTTGTACGAAATCGCTTCTGATCTCTATTGAATCTTATGGAATTTTATTGAAACTGTAATTTAAATTGTTTTATATGACCGTTATTATTAATAAAAAATTGTTATCATTCAATCCGTGGAAATTAATGAAGATTAATATTTGTTAAAAATAACGTGACACTTCATTTATTATGTACAAGTACCTGGAGGACACTTTTTTTGTAAATCATGTATTTTGGAAATAAAAAAAATGTGTGTAAATGATCGTGATACGAATCGAGGCCGTCTGTTTTGGGGCCGCCCGATTACCGACCGAGCTATTATAACATTTATTTTTGCGGCGAAATTTACTGTCATATACGAATGATAATTTTCATTCCCTGAAAACAGGGATAAAAGGACATTTTCTAAAAATGAAACCTAGCTAGATCGATTTTTCGCCCCCGAATCTACGCACATACTAAATTTCATGAAAATCGCAGGAGCCGTTTCCGAGATTAGATACAAGAATTGCTCGTTTAAAGGATAAGATATTTCTTTTTTATATATGTATGTGTGTTTTCCTTACTAGGGTAACTCCGGCGATACCCAACGATTTCTTCCCCATAGCTGTCAACTGGACGTCGGACACTTCGCTTGCCAAACTGACAGCTGTCAAAGTGACACAAGCGGAAGACGGCTCGCCGGTGGATTTCTCGCAGGACGTCAGTTTCCGCCCGGACAAATATGAAATAGTTTAATGTTTATTCCAGTATAAATAAAACTTTATGAATACTATATTGATTTAAGCCTTTGTTTTTACCATTTTCTATCGATATAAAAAGGCGAAATGTTTAGATGTGTAGTATAACTTATTTTTTATGTATTGCCATCGTTTATCCTTGCTATTATAATAAGCCAATTAAAACCATTTTCTAAAAGTAATCCAAGTATGAAACTACAAATTTGTTCGTTAATTGTTGTCCATAACATATTATATGCCTGTAATTGATCATACAATAGGAAATTGGCTGAAATAGTAAAAAATATATAAGAATTATATTTATATATATAGATAGTAGAATATTTTTATGTCCGGTTATTTTACGAAGTTTACCTGAACGCAAATATTATCGTGTATACTTATAGTACTGTATGTTTAAAATAAAAAAAGCAATAAAACCGATAAAATTTATTTCATTTCATTCGTCTAACGTCAAGAAATGCTATGGTTTTGTTTGTTGTTAGCATGTGCCAACGCGAGATGGAACAAAGTACCTTACAGAAATACCAATCCATATAATGTATGGCATAGCCACAGAAAGTCTCAGGTTTCGCAAGATATAGTTCGAAGTAGTAAGTTGATTTTAATTTGTATTACATCCCGAATTTAAGTAAAATAAACTACGTAATGTTAAACAGACCCTTACTTCGTACGACTTTCATTTCATATTACAAAAGAGGCAAGCTTGACAAAAGTGCGTTTTTATTGTGTTAAGGCGAATGGAAAGGCTCCTCGGGGAAAATATCACAACTTAGGAGAAAGCCGGTGTAATGTTGTAGTTGTCTGTTTAGTGATGTAAGAGAAGCCCACTATTTATAGATTGGCATCGCATCTACAGCCTCCACAGGTGCTTAAGTTTATGTGCGACCAGTGGCGGAATTACCAGCAGGCTAAGTAGGCTAGAGCCCAGGGCGGCAAATTTTTATCTTACAGAAATAAAGAAAGACATTATTATATAGAGAAAATAAACTCAGCTACAAGCCGTGATAGCTCAGCGTCTGGGCACTCGCCTTTAATTCACTATACGAGTACTCTATCAACCTGAGTTCGATCTCCGGTGCCAGCACCAATGAAATTATTAATTTTAAGTGCTGACTTACCACGTAAACTCTTTACAGAGGCAGTTTTCCACTTCAGTTGTACTTTACAGTTTGTCCAGTAGTGGAACATTTATAGTCTGTTGCTTTACTTTTCATCGGTCACTCTCTCTCCCTCTCTGCGTTACACCTTTCTTCTTTTTCAATACATAAAACAGCACATTCAGCAATTCAGCACATAAAACAATGTCTAAATGCGATGCAGCATTGATATGTAACAATATAAGAATAGTCGCTATAATAATCTTTACAATTCTAATCCACAGCTGCCATACAAGCCATTAAGTTTTCACGAGTTTGTAACACCGTTAACAGAATCGTATACATTTGAGGGTAGCGTTAACAAAAGTTTATCAGACCAGATTGCAGTGTTCTCGCCGCTGATGAATTTCGACACGGACGCCGACCCGGTATCCGAAAGCAGGTACCGGTGGATCGCCCGAGTGGTGCATTCGCGAACCTCCACCATACCTCACGTGTGCACCGCCTCCTGCATCTCCGAGAGGATATTCGTCACCGCTGCCGCGTGCGTTTCCAGGTATTTAATGTACCTCTTCACAGTTTACCCCAATCGCTTTACCAACAAAAAGAGTGCTTTTTTTTTCCAAATTAAGTCAAATTCAAATTCAAATCATTTATTCATCGAAATAAGAAATATACATTTCATTTATCGATAGTCATTTTTTAAATCTACCACCGTTTCGTAAAGAGGTTCCTCTAACGGAGAAGAAACAGGCGAAAGAAACTCCGTAGGTATCCTCTTTTTTTTTGCCAATAGCCAGTACCTGACGAGCAACGAGAACTTTAATGTTAGCCAGTTAGGTTAACGAAACTTTCCGCGAACGATTGATAGGTCGAACGATCGACTCAATTGCAACCTTGCTGCATATGAGGCGTACCTAGATCAAGTAGGTGGCTGCATCCGGACATGCCTACATCGACCTTTTCTTGTCCTGGGAGACTTCAACGCTCATTCTAGAGCTTGTAAGCCACGCGGGACAATGCAAGGGGAGAAACCTTGCAGGGGTGGGCGGCAGGACTAGACCTCCGTCTCTTAAATCGAGGTTCTGTGAGTACATGTGTGCGGTGGCAGGGGTTGTGGACTTATCGTGGGCTACTCCTTCTGCCACTCATATGGTGTCGGGATGGAGAGTAGTGGAGGAAGTAGTCACATTATCTGACCACCGCCATATCGTATTTGATGTGGCACTCTGCCCACCAAATATTGGTATCCACCACTGCAGCCCGCGGCGTTGGTCCCTCAAGCGCGTTAACATAGATATGCTCGAGGCCGCAGTTATTGTGGCGTCATGGCCGGAGGCACACTCTGATAGAGTTCCAGATCCTGAAGAGGAAGCGGCCTGGTTCTGGGCTACGATGACGTCAATTTGTGATGTTTCGATGCCTCGAACCAGATCTTTCAGGCTAAGGGCAGTATACTGGTGGTCAGAAGCCATCGCTCGGCAGAGGGAAGTCTGTTTGCGTGCTCGACGCCAGTACTCCGGGTGCCGAAGAAGAAGGCGGGCCACGGCCGAAGAGGAGGCGAGAGCATACGAGGCTTACAGAGGTGCCACAAAAGCACTGCAAAGAGCGATCGAGGAAGCCAAGGCTCGGTCCTGGAGTGAACTCCTCGAGAGTCTGGATAGGGATCCGTGGGGGCGCCCGTATAAGATTGTATTGGGCAAGCTCCGACCATGGGCCCCTCCACTGACGGAGACCCTGGACCCAACTTTTGTGGGAAGAGTGATTGATACGCTCTTCCCCCTAACCCAGGAAATCCCTGAGCCCCCAACCATAATTATGAATGAGAACGATGGGTCTGATGGATTGGGAGTCACTCAGGACGAGATGGACCGGGCCATTAAACGGCTTCGAAGCCGGAACACCGCACCAGGCCCTGATGGTATTCATGGTCGGGTGTGGGTGCTAGCTCTCGCCGCCGGACTGGGAGGGAGACTGAGGCGACTCTTCAACAGCTGTCTCGGAGCCGGTGTTTTTCCCTCACAGTGGAAGGAGGCCAATTTGGTGCTATTGAGATATGATCTTGGTCCAAAAGATCGGGCAGGACCTATCTCCACCTGTTGCAGTGGCGGCTACGCTGATGGAGAAATCCGCTTGGATGGCACTGGTCTCTGGTTCTGCGAAGCTGTAATGCTTCAGTCGGAGACCGCTGAGCGGGAACGGGAGAGGGCCGACTCCGCTCGGAGACGAAGACACCGGGTCGGTAGAAATGGACGAGGCGCCCCGTAAGCCCTGTAGTCTCGGGCTCGTAGAATAGAGCTAAGGTATCCCCTGCCTGTCGTAAAAGGCGACTAAAAGGGGACACGGATTGGCAGCAGCACGAAGTGGTCTCGGGCTGCTGGAAGACAGCGAGGGAATCGGGGAAGGTTTACCCTTCTCCGAGGCGTGCTCACGCCCAGTACACCGGTGCGTTCCATAGGAGATCCCGGAGTCCCTCCAAAGGTACAGAAGGTGGCCACCGAGGGGGTTTTAGTGGGTACGAACCCCACATAACCCTGTCATATAAAGTGACAGGGTATCTTTTGAAGATTTCCCCCCGATAAAAAAAAAAAAGAAAAAAAAGGTCGAACGATCGAACACCTGTGGACTTTTATAAATGGTGAGAAAAAAAGAATTGTGTATGAACAAGAAAGTCAATCGAGAGAAAAATTAACACATTTTTAAATAGTAAGTAAAAATTGTAATTCCTAAAAAAGTGTTTTAACTTTTTAAATGCGCCAAAACCACAATAAATGAATTTTAATTTTATTTTTAATGTTTTACCTAACTGAACATTTATTCAAGTAGTTTGGAACGTCTATGTGCCTCAGTTTCTATGCGCTAGTGTCATTCATATCTACCCCGTATTTGTATATATGTAATATCATTGGAAATAATAAAGCAGATGAACTTCAAATTACAGGTTGAAAGTGTCATACACAACTGTCATATATCAGTACGACAGGATCCCCGTCATCGCGTTCGTCATACCGGCGAACGGTTCGAGGCAGGGTTTCGACGACATCGGCTTTATAGTTGTTGACACGGATGGACCAAGGAATTGGGACACTATCCTCATGTTCGACACTACCAATCGCACGGATAACGAATTCAGATGGTTTTCAAATATATTCGATACGGACACAATCGAGCATAAAGTCATCGGTTACAGTGTTCCAAAGGTAATGTTGAACTTAATTAGAGGGAGGCTTTTCTAAGTGTATCCATTTTTTTTTAATTAAATTCTAGACATAAATAATGTTATATGAAAAATGGTAATATTTAAAATTACTCGTAATTAATTAAATACATTCGTATGAACTTATCTCAAAAAGTTCGTGATTTATGGGCAACTTATTTATTTTAAGCGCGATCATACATAACTAACACGCACACAAGTTCGTTTCAAAAGTATACGACGCATTTATGAACTACCGCATTGTTAACAAGTTCTGTTTTTTAGGGAATCTAATGGCAATTTTAAAAAAAAAAAAGTTTGTTTTTATTTCAATAAACGATTATACTACCGAGTCTAAACCTCCTGTGTGAATTTGCACCTTTAGAAAAGCAACCCTGTATAACAACTACATATACAATAAACAAAACCTACTTCAAAAATCTCACGATGCATATTCCCTGATGAATGTCGGAAGCGAATGTCCAATACCGATGAAACTAAACTTACAAACGGAGCTAGGCCTAAACCTAATGCAAAAAGAATTTCCAAATCGTTTCATAACTGATTGAGTTCCGAGGTAACATACATAAAGAAAACCTACAACACAATTGTATGGTTTTTTTATGTCTGCTACAGGAATCTTTTAAATCGGTAGAAACTGTTAGAGGTACCCGCTGTGCTAACTGTAATTTCGTAACTACTGGATACTAATAGGCCCTTATCAAAAAAAATGTTGTGATATCTTAATTTGATGTAAAGTTGTTGAAGTTTTAAGAAACGACTAATTTTATAAACCCTTCGTGTTCAGTGTTGGGTGTTTTCGGCCGTGGTGTGAGGCACGCGATGTAGGAGTTAATTAGGTTATAACCAATGTAGACAAAATATATCGGGTATCAGCTGGTCACTACATATTATAAAACACAGTACCCTCATCGTTACTGTCTGAACGCGTTTATCTCAGAAACTAGAGAACGGATTTTTTTGCGGTTTTCATCAATATACGCAGTGACGCATGAGGAAGGTGTATAAATCGATCAATACTTTGATTGAATTGGCTAAAAGGTGACTGTGACCGTAGAATATGTCGAAAAAAATCCGCTCGTGTATAAAATGTGGCCGTGGCTTGTCGTTAATATCAAATTTTTTACCAAAATTAACGAGTATATTTAATAGGGACGAAGTAAACATGTAATCAAATATGCATTCGTGCATGTATTCAAAAACTAAAGCTTTTGACATTTTTTTTTATGTAAGAAGGTGGCAGGCGAGCTGGCGGTTCACCGGATGTTAAGTTATAACTATTAGCCCATGGACATATGTAATACCCGTAGGTTTGCAGTTGCGTTGCCTTTTAATAAAGTGGGCCTCGGTTACCTCACTTACCACACTGGTAACAGAAGTGTAACACTTCTACTTCACGCCGGGTTTCTGTGCTATCCATTCTTACAACAAAAAAATCAACAGCATTTTACAGCAATCAGACCTAACTCTAGTCATATGAGTGATAATTATGTGTACAATCAAAATTATAAGATAAGTTAATACTTAGTAAATTTAATCTCAAAATATGTTCTTCATATACCAACAGGTCCTATCTAAAATATCCGAGATAGATAAGCAATACCATCTGACCGAGTTGCCAGTGGTGGTGAACTTGGACCTGTGCCCTTCGATACTGCCATTCAAAGAAACCGCCTCGGCCTACCGCGTGCCCTGCTACATGTCTTGCGCGCTGAGGGAGTTCCACGCGGGGAAAAGCGTTTGCAAAAACTACCACGGGGTGGAAGGGGGCGCCCTGTTCAATATCGAGACCAATAAACTGCTGGGCGTCGCTACATGGGGGGCGAATAGTCAAGCGCTGCCGGTCGGCTTCGCAGTTCCGAACTCTGAAAATTTCTTCAGGAACTACGCGTGCGCGAGGCGCATAAGGGACAACGGTGAACCACTGCCATTGGCCGGCCACTATCAAAGCCTTTGCAGTAACTGAAATAGCGTTAATAGAGCAGAGTTACATGGGGTCGTCCATTAATCACATGATGTTTTTTTATTGGCGTTCACCCGATGATATATAAGTAGTAGTAAAATATATGGTCATATATGATAAAAGTCCAGTAGACCGCCGTTTTTTCCGCCGGGCGGGAGGTCGTAGACTGGCAGCCACAAGTCGCGGGTTCAACGTAAAATAAATACACATGATCACTCACTACTTGTGATACCTTCCCCTAAGTTCCCTAAGTTTTATTAAAATAAGCAAAAATAAGAATTTTTAATTGTAGGATAAAATCAATGACTGAACATTATTACTCAAATATGATAAATTATTAGTTGTAGGTCAATTCCCTAATTACTGGTGCCCAAAATATTTTATCAAGATCAATTGAATTACATAAAATGAACTAGATATCTAGAATTTTGTTAAAATAAGGGACTTCAAATACGCCAAGAAATTAAAAAGATAACTTTGATTTTGTTGACAGTTTATTTCACATTTGTTTTCAAATACTTATTTTGATTTTTCTTACTTATATACTAAATGGGAATTAAGTTTTTATAGCCAGCTATACTATATGACATTGACAGACTTTTTTAAAATAATAGATACATTGACTCTTCTAATAGTAAAACATAAGTAAAACAATAATTTATTTATAACTTCATTTAATTTCTTAATCTTATAAAATATTTCTACGAGTCCTCCACTTTAAAGTTAAATTTAAAATCAGAAGAAGAGAAAGTAAATCTAAACTTTTTATCTTCACAATCATCTTTTTTATCAGCACATGGTTTTTTTTCATTCAAGACATTAGCCGAAACTAAATTCTCCTTAACACCATTATCACCGTTTATATTTTGAGTATTATTTGCAGTATTGCCATTGTCAATACTTTCAGGAGGTATATTGAAGTTAAATCTGAATGACTCGTCACCTGTGGTAAGGAATGCAGATTTCCTTAAAAATTTGGCTTTAGGCTGCGCAGGAGTCTCCGATATTTTGATTTTACTTGCCACTATAAAAACAGAAAATACCCTAAAAATGGCATCCACATAATTCTGGAAGGAAAGGTTTTAATTTTTTATGGAAACAACATTCTTACGTCAGTCAGTACAAATATTTAATGCTCGGCATATTTTTAAAAAAGTAGCCACACACACTCATTTTTACCACGAGCCGAGAAAAAATGGAATGAATAGCACAAACACATTTACTAGATGTGTATTAAGATTTTATCTAAAAGCAAAGGACTGAACCAAAATATAATACTCTGATATATGAAACATTGTCGGTGCCTTAAACCACCTAAGCTTTAACATGATGGAAATTTGGTATACATAACATATTTTATTTTGATGTACTCCTATCTAAATACTCATGATTTGGAATAGATATAAAACATACTTTTGGCTAATTTCTTCTCCTCAGATGCCATTTTTGCTCTGTAGTCACCAAAGTGTGTTCTCATCAGCTGCCTCTTCCTAATGATGGGTTGATTGTTATTTTTCAACACTGTCAACACTTTCCATGCTTCTTGCACTGGAAAAATTATTTTACTCATCATTTAGTCGACTTATGATTAAGTAATTTTGCCTTAATATAATTGAAAGTATATCTAATAAACCAATCAGTTTCAAATAAACTAATTTTGAACCAATCTTAAATTATGATAAAATGTCAAGTGAGGAATGAAATCAATATGTGTCTTTAAATACTTTATAAATTACATTAATGTGATAAAAATTAAATATAAAAGAGTGAATGTTAAATTATATTGAAAAAAAAAAATACTAAATAGTACATGCTTAGCATGACAAGACAGAGAAAGATAGTATCTAAACGTCGCATAGAGGGTTGTAAATTAATTTCTCACACCTCCCAAAAGCTGTATTATGGAACTTCAATCCTCAACTAATGCACCAGGTATAGACAATAAATTTATTATTGTGGTATAATATTTATGGCATTAGAACTTGTAGATTTATATTGAGAATATAGTTGGAAGTACCAAATTGGCTTTTACGAGAAACCATATAAAGAATCAAAGCAGATAATTGAAACATAAGTTTACAGATCAATTATTTATCTATTATATCAAAAGTAGTTTTCTTCACCATCTATCATTGAAATATAAAGTATTAAACCAAATAAACTCTGAAAGATATGGGTTAGACTTACATTGTTTTTCATTGTCTTTTTTCTCGTTTAGAGTGCGTTCTAATTGCTGTATACACCAACATAATTGCAGTTGGAATTCTCTTGTCGCATCTTCTGGGTCTCGGTTATCCGACGATTCAGTATAAACTTTATTTGCCTTTTGGGATTTCCCTTTGCTGTGTAGCTTTACTGCTTTCGGCATTTTATAAATTTATATATAAATTGTGCTTTGGTACGGATATCAGCATGAAATTATCCTAAGATGATTTTTATTTTTTGAAATCTAACACCCACGTTTTATTTTGATTTATATTGACCAATATTGACATTTAAAAGAAGAATGAGACATTAGGTCAGGGTTGCCGTTAGCATTGTAGCACACGTGCACTGCTACAATTCCCCATTTACTCCTCGAATAATTGAAAAAATTCTATATTAGCACGATAATTAAAATAATAATAATATATGTAAAGTTATACTTAATTGTATCGTTTAAAAGTATTGCATGATAGAATTGTATTCGGTATCATATATATTCTTATGTTTAATAATTACATATATTTTTTTCTTTTAAGTTTGTGCACCTACTGCAACTTCTCAGTACCACCAGGTTGACTGGTAGAAAATGCTATCAGCATTAATTCCACCTATTTACTGTGTTTTGTGCATGAAGTTTGAAAATAAATAAATAATCATCATTAATATTGTTATGAAGTACTAAAACATTACAAAACAACTAAATAATTAAAAAAAAAACATTACAGTTTTTTATTTATTATTTTTTTTCCATTTTGTTTATTTTTCCAATTATTTATTTTTATTGCCATTTTTTTAAAATACATTTTTTTTTTATTTCGTTTAAAAATTATTTATTATGAATGTGTGATAATGCCATTTAATGACTGATATTTACCGGTTATTCTTTAAAATAAGAAACCTTACATTTCTAATATTTATTTACACATTATTAGATTACATTTCGGCGACTGATCACACTCTTGTGCGAAACACATGGGTCAATCAACTGTTAAACTATTATTCACTTTGACAATTAGTGTGACTTGACTTGACATAATATCTAACCTAAAAATTTCCGTCGTCATTGTCAAATTTTTCAGGTAGTATCATAGTATGCCGCTCGGAAAGTTTGGAAAAATTACACTTTCGTGGTAACTTGACACATGATAATCGTTTTTTAAATGTTTTGATTAATTATATTAAATAAACTGTTGTAGTGGTGAGGCCAGACAATATTTTTTCTGTATCTCATTTTTTGTTAGGTTGTTTAAAAGGAGTATTCGTTTAATACCATTTTTATGAAATTTTTGATGAATGACGTACCTTTTTATTTTTTTAATAATCTTTTTTTATTTAACGAGTCAATGTGAGAAAATTTAAGTGTACCGACTAATTTCAATTTTTTTTCAGGGTTGCAGTTACCTTTACAAGTTTATCCCTTTTTGTGGTAGCCAAAGATTATATAAATGAAAGACGGGTTGAGAATATGAAAGCTCGTGAACGTATGCGCAAATCTAACGAAGGAGAATACCCAGACTTGTACAGACAATTGTAGTTATATGTGTAAGTAAAACAAGATTCTTTAACCATTAATATATGCCTAAAATGATAACTAAGGCAGCATTCTTTAGTGAATAATATATGCAATTAACTTCTAATTGTATATATTATTCCTGATAATTATTAGATAGTTGACACAATAACATCAACAAATTAATTGATAAATTAATTAATGTTCTTGTTAATGTTAGTAAAGGTAATATCATATACCCAGTTGTACATTGTACAACTAAGAACATTTTACTTAGCAATAATTTTACAAAAAACAATGTTAGTATAAACTAAACATTGAGACAACACCTAAGCCACTTAAATTAAATATTGTACACCAAAATATACACGGCATAGGTGGCAAAGAAACTGAAATTGAGCTGTTTCTTAGAAGATTTAACATCCATGTCATCTGCTTCACAGAGACATGGTAACATAAGCATTTTAATATTATAGATATAGAGAACTATAAATTGTTAAGTTCGTTCGTAAGAGCAAATGCTATTCGCGGTGGCTCTCTTGTGTTAGTAAGAACTGATATAGTCTGTAAAAATCGACAGGATATAGTAGCACTCCCGAACATTCTATAGAATTATCCTGCGTTGAGAGTCAACAGTATATTATAGTATGTGTGTATCGACCCCCCTCAGGTGATTTCGATCTGTTTGAGTGTGTAATGGGTGATGTACTTAAAAAACTCTGTTCAAGTAGTAAATCAGTAGTAGTTTGTGGAGATTTTAATGTGGATTTATTACAAGTGACACATCTTAGTAAACGACTTTTAAATTTATTTAGTTCATTTAAACTTAATAATCTTTTTCATGAACCAACTCGTGTCACTAACTCATCCTCCACATGTATAGATAACGTTTTCTGCCACGATAATGTATATGATAAATATGTTATAAATTATCTGAGCTCTGACCACTTTGGTTTAAAATTTTCAATAAATGAAAAAGTTATTACAAGCAAACATAAGATCAAGTGTAGACCAGTCACTACTAATAGAATAAATTCTTTTAAAGACAAAGTGGCACATCATATGTTAAATAAAGATATAGAAGTCAATAATCCTAATGATTCTTATAAATCAATGGTTGACTTTCTCATATCTTCTTATAATGATATATTTAAATCGCGCACAATTGTTAAAAATTCAAAATTAAAATTTAGTGACTGGGCAACAGTGGGTATATATAAAAGTAGGGATTCACTGTATGAATTATACAACATGAGGCAGTGGAATCATGACCCCAACTTTCATAAAAGGGTACAAATGTTCTCAAAAATATTTAAAAAAGTCTGTATTAAGGCAAAATCTATTCATATAAGAAATAGAATAATAAATTCAAACAATAAAATTAAAGCCACATGGGACATCATTACCCATATATCTGGAAGACCCAAGATATTCAGGGAACCTATAAAACTGGTTATAGGTAATACTCCCATAACATCAGATAATGAAATTGCAAGTAGTTTTGAAAGCTATTTTTCAGAAATTGCAGTTAATGTCACATGTACATTAAATCATCTCCCATAGATGCAATTAACGTTCTAAGAAATAATGTTACCTTTTGTAAATTTAACATTTAAATTTAATCACGTAGATACTTATGATATTATATAAGTTTTGAATTCTATTAATCTTAAGAATACAGGGGATTTATGGGGCATGTCCATAAAATTAATGACCACAATAATGCCATATATTGCACCAAATTTAGCTAATATTTTTAACGATCTGTTTACTTTTTGTAGGCGAAATAATGCCGTAGTTAGTTTGTCCTTATTTCTAGTATTTAGTTTATGTCTGTCACTATTCGTTTTGATAATTATTAATATTCTGTTTAACATACAAAATATTACAATAAATATATTGAGACGCAACAGTGAGTATATTAATCTCTTTAAAAAGATATCTGAGTGTATTCCGGGCTCCGATGTTATAAATTGCTCGGACAGCTCTTTTTTGAATAATAAATATTGAATTTATATCAGATGCACTACCCCACAACAAAATGCCGTACGACAAGATGCTGTGAAAATAACTGTAGTAAACAAGTCTGGCAGTGTCGATATCTGATAGCTGCCTAACCTTCCTAATTGCAAAAAACAGCAGAGCTTAACCTATTCGCAAGAGATGATAGATGGGGACTCCATTGGAGCTTTGAATCTACTGTGATTCCCAAGAATACAGCGGACTCAACAGGATTAAGGGTTACGCTATTCAATTTTAAGCTAAAACTTTGCCTTCTTACGTTGGGAAGGGCAAAAAGAAGGCATTTAGTTTTTTTAGCATTTAACACCATATTATTAATGGTAAACCAGTGCAGGATACGCGAAAGTGCACTATTCACGTCGTCATAATTCGATACATTTCGGTCAACCTTAAAAATAAGCGATGTGCCGTCAGCAAACAGTACAACATCACATAACTCACTGGCATAAAAGGGGAGATCATTTATATATACTAAGAATAATAATGGGCCCAAGATCGATCCTTGTGGGACACCCATTTTCATGGGGGACCCTGCGGAATTTACATCATTTATAGATACTTTTTGAATTCTATTATTAAGGTAAGAAGCAATGAGATTGAGGGCGATGTCACGAATGCCATAATAATCAAGCTTTAGAAGGAGGGTTTTGTGATCCACGCAGTCGAAAGCTTTTGAAAGGTCGCAAAAAAACACCTATTGCATCTTGCGTCCCTTCCCAGGCGTTATAAATATGTTTGACAAGTGCGATACCCGCATCTGTTGTCGATCTGCCTTTAGTGAATCCATATTGCTCATTGTGAAAAATTTTGTTCATATTAAAATGTACTAAGAGCTGATTTAAAATTAGTTTTTCAAAAATTTTACTCAGAGATGGCAATATGGAGATAGGTCTGTAGTTTCCTGGATCATTTTTATCCCCACTTTTGAAGACGGGGATTATCTTACTAAATTTCATAAGATCTGGAAATATTCCAGAATCGATTGGAGGCGAATAATTTGAGGTCATCCATGTAGAAAAGGTGGGTCACTTTTGACCCTCCTCTCCGAAGCTGAAATCCTCCCCCTCATTATTATTATTATCCTCCCTCCCTATTATTATTATTGTGGGGGTATTTATTTGTTTTCTCGTCTGGTTGGGTTTGGGGATAAATAATAAACACATAAATATATATTGCATCTATAAAATAAATATTATGAATAAAAATAAATATACAGATATAAATATTATATATAATACAAAAATAAATAGGACCCAACCAGACGGAAGCCCTCGGCAGGGGAGACCAAACGGCCGAGGGTTAGGGTGAGAGGGAGAGAAACCGGCGGACGATGCGGGCGGTATCGAGGAGCACCGCCTTCTGCATTTGAGCGTGGAGCGTTCCGTCCCGGAGTCCCAGTCGCCTCAGGTGTTCGGAGAGGCTGACTGGGATTAACCCATTCGCAGACACGACTATTGGGATAATTTCGGTCGGCACACCACCCCACATGTCGGTCACCTCGTGAGCCAGGTCCAGATACTTCGTCTTCTTATCTGTTTCGGCTTTCACGAGGTTCTCGTCATATGGAATGGTAATGTCGACCAAAAATACCCGCGACTGTGCCCGGTCCATCACCACGATGTCAGGTTTGTTCGCGACAATCGTCCTGTCCGTGATGATGGGCCGGTCCCAATAGAGCCTTGCGCGGTCATTTTCGACTATAAGCGACCGCCGAATTCTGCTTGTTGATTAATTCATTAGAGAATTTTCTCTATCGTTTAAAATTTATTTTAATTGAATTATGCCAGAGTTAAAGTTATTTACATTTGCCGATTTGAATTTAATTATTGCTTGAAGTGCAATAAAATGTTTTATCTAGTATAAAGTTTATTGGTGAAATTCTTGACTTATTATCATTATCTAAAATTTCAGGTTCAATTAAAGTGTGAAAGAATAGAAAACAATGGCTGTTCCACAATTAGACCCTGCAAAGTTGCAGCTCGTTCAAGAGTTGGAGATTGAGATGATGTCTGACATGTACAACCGCTTGGTTTCTGCTTGTCATAGGAAATGCATACCATTGAAGTACCATGAGCCAGAACTTGGTTAGTGATATTAAAAAAAAAACATTTTTAAATGTATATCTTACATGAATACATTCATTTCCTGGTCTTTGTGAGATATTATTGCATCATGTGTGCAGATACTAAAAATAAGTATTCATCCTAAAAATATGCCTCCTCCTTTTTTCTAATCATCAAAAAAGTTGAGGCGCTGTAAGGATTTGAAACTGTTTCTCCTGGTTAGTGCACTCACAATCATTCAATAGTTAACACCTTTTGTATAAAATTATCATAGTGAGTAGTGCTGGTGTAAACATGAGAAAAATAAAAGTATGTGACAATAAAACGCTACAGCTTGTAAAACAGCCTGTATAACTGTTATTATGTCACATAACTAGAGTAACTGTGGTTGAGCTACATAGCAGCATCTACTTTTGTACAAATGGGCAGGCTTGTCCAGGGAGGTATGTACTACAATCTCACAGAAGACCATGTAAAGTGGAAGTATTAAGTATCATCTGGTGAGTGAAGTAACCCACTTTTTAAAAGGTTGCAACATTTCTGCAAACCATCGGTTGTTGCAGATGCTCATGGGTGGTAGTAATCACTTTACATAAATGAACCGCCTGCTCACTTGATGTCTTTTCATATAAAAAAAAAACAGCAATTTCCTACTCTATACACATGGTATTACGACATAACCGGATCCATTATGCTTTCCTTTGCCACCTGATGTGGTAAAATATTTCCCAAAAATATGTTTACTAAATCACTTATTCTATTTTTCAGGGAAAGGGGAATCGGTTTGCTTAGATCGCTGTGTAGCAAAATACTTGGATGTTCATGAGCGTATTGGGAAGAAATTGTCCAACATGTCCCAAGGTGAATCCGAGGACCTCACGAAAATGAACTTGCAGGATACCAAAAAATAGCAGTAGCTAATGCAAAGATGTGCAATGAAGACTCATTTTGTTATATGCGTTTATTACTTCAATGTTTATTGGAAGGATGTGACCAATTATTTTTTTTTATTTTTGTTAATTTTAATAACGCCGCGCAAGATTAATAACAATAAAACGTAGATAAGTTTTAATACATTGTAAATTGCTTGCCTCATACGAGTACGGTTAATTAAAGTAAGGCATTTGGGGTAATTCTGATAAAATATTGGAGATAAATAAACAGCGACGTTTATTGCACTAAAATGATATCCCGAAAATGGAAACGCATTTCGTTTATTTTAGTATGGGTGATTATAGTTTAGCTGTATGTTAGCTGGTTGTTGTAGGAAATAAAACAAGAGAAACCCACGTTTTGTTTTTATTTTGCACACGCCCACTAAAGCTACATCGAATTCATAATATCTATACACTACTACTAATCGAAAGCTAAATCTATATGTGTCCGTTCCAATAAAAAATAAACCAAAGGTAAATGAACGTACATCTATAATCCTTTACAAATGTATAACCTTTCAACTGGATTGTACAATCTAAACTGTTTTGCACTGAAAATAATCAATTAAATTCAGTAAAATGAGCTTTTAATGAACGCTGACAACTGTAAGAAGCAATAATAAGGATATGTGAATTAATTCGAATGTGCTGTGAATAGGTACCAGAAAATGAGTTAATAATCCGTGACGTGTAACGCTTCTTGGGCGTTCAATTTAGTTCATATTGCAATGTTATTTTAGTTCTTTTTTTCACGGTAAGTAACTCCAGTCTGTCCGAAGCCGTATTTTGGATCGTAGTGCTTGATCAGTTGGGCCAACACGTAAATGTTGGCGCAAAAGAACACGATACCCTTCAGCCACAACAATACGAATATCTCCCTGCCTTTGAACTCCAATAGGTACGCGTAGAACAGCCAAGCGCCCTGTGCGATGAGCCACATGGAGGCCAGCACTAACGCTGTCCTCGTATCGAGCCTGAAACTGTGGACCACCAGCGGTAGCAAAGACAGGAACCACACAAAGTACTGCGACGTTATCACGCTGTTGAAAGCGACCAAGACCACTGCCTGACAGAAGAGTGCGAACGGCAAGGTGGCCGGTTGGCAGCCGAACGTCAGACTCAAAATGAAAAGCAGCATGAACTCGAATGTCTGCGCGAAAATCCGGACCACGTCGATGACCAGCTGGTCGTTTGTCAGGTAGGAGTAGTAGAAGAGGACGGAGAAGTTGTGCCGCTTGTCTTCCCTGAACAGGTGGAAGATGTAAGTCTCGAAGAGGAACTCGTAGCCGTATCTACGGTATAAAGCGTATGTGATCAGGAGCAGAGTGGCGATGCAGCTCACCGCCAGCGTTATCTGCTTCATGTTTGGCAACAGCGAGATGAAACCGGTTCTTAAATTGGTCCGCCTGTTAATTTTATACTCGCCCAGGGATAAGTACATTGGGAAGCTGAACGCGAGTGGGTACAGGCGGAGATGTATCGAGAGCCCCAATAAGGCACCAGACAGCACATATTTAAGCAGCCCATTCACTATGTCCGTCTGCAGAAAAACCAGTGACAGTAGTATAAAGAAACACGAGACCGAGTCGGCGTTGCCCCTAGTCGAAATTGCGATACTTAACGGGTTGTAGAGCCAAAAGAAAGCGCAGTAATTCGAAATCCTAGACGCCTCCTGCGACTGCAGTTGGTGCTGCACCAGAATTTTCACCATGACCGCCAATAGAACGTCGAACAAAGAAAATAGGAGTTTTCCGTAACGCATGCCGGCCAAGTTCGGTATCAAGAGGTACGCTATGATCGGACTGTATCTATACGTGTGGCGCAAGTAAGGAGATTTGCCCTCGGCCACGTGACGCGCGGCGTCCGTGAACACTTTGTAGTCCACATCAGTGTATGGGACATCGTAATGGGCGTCGTGGAACTCTCCATAGAAGACCAGAGCGATGCGTATGGCGATACCGGCAAAGAGATGGTAGCCCAGAGGCAGGTTCACAGCGCCTTTGACAAAATCCATCGCTTAGATACGCGTCTTCAATTCTTTGGCGGCCGTGCGTAGACAAGCGTTGAACTCGTTGAACTCCTTGGCGCAATCGTCCTTCTTTAGAGAGTCCTCCTTGAAGAGGACGCAACGGGCGTACAGAGTACCCTGTTTGGAGCACTTCGCGAATATCAGTGGGTATTTGGCGAAACGCTCGCGCGCTTTGAGCACAGAGTCCATATCAAATTGAGCGCGGCTTGCCGCCTGTCAAGCTCGTCGGCGGCTCGGTCAGGTCGAAATCGGCGCGCGGCCTGTAAAACAGATCGTACAGCGGTTTGGAGAAGAAGACGCCGATGCCCAGAGTGGTGAAGACGATCTGAAAAGTTCGCGGGTATCGGTAGATCCAGCTGCGTTTACCCAATGGCAGACTGCGACGTTGACTGTCCATAATTACCTGTGGAGAAAGAGAATTGTTATGCACTCGTGTGTCATATTCATTTTTATTGCCAAGTTACTGTCGCTGGTTAAGGGTTTAATACTCTACATATTTTCTTTATATACATTATTCTTCTGTACGTGTTTATGTCACTGAACTCCTTCTAAACTCTGTCTCAGTCTTTAGGTCCATTCGAGAATGGTTTAAATACAAAATTCCGTCCACTACAATTATTCTTTTTATTTCTAAGTTGATAATAATAAAAAATTGACAAGTACATTTATATTAAGAAAAACAAAATCGATTTCAAATATCTCACGCACCATACTTAAATTAATAAGGAGCCACATGGGAGCTGAACCGAAAACAATGCAAAATCATTTTTAAAATCGGTCCATAAATGATGTAGTTCTGAGGTAACAAACATACAAAAACACAAACGAATTCAGTACCTCCCCTTTTATTCGAAGTTAGAGAATAGTCGGACTTTAAGGTTCGACATGGATCATGTTATAAGAAAAGATGCCATTTACATTAAAAAGTTGGGTTAAATAAGTCAAACTGGAGCTATAGATCTCAGAAAAGAAGCAAAAAAGAAGAAACTTTTCGTTGAAAAGCTGTCATAGTTGTTATGACATACATTTTCATCTTATGTATATGAATCGTGAAAATTAATCTATAAATGAAAATAACCTCCAAAAGAACTACACACGTATGTAACGACTATGAGTCATTGTTGATGAATCGGTGCAGTTTCTAACCTATGGGCTTTTCTGACGCGGGTCTTCGGCTTGAGGATTAATATTGAAACATATATAATTATGATATGTAATATATAGCGTAATATGAACCTTATCATAATCGACATGTACTTAATTGTTAAGAATATGGCAGTCAAGCGCTGGTCAGTTGGGAATTTAAAAAAAATTGTTTTCCTCCAAGTACAACGGATAAAAAATATCATTGACCCACAGGGCAATCTTAGCCTACATTATGGTAATATCAATAAGGGAAAACGACACACTTATCGACGGGTCGGTATGCTTAGAACTGGTTTTCGATGTCTCATTATAGATCTTACTCTGCCATTGGTTGCGATATGGCGATACTAACATCAACATACCTAAGTATTATTTTTCAAATATATTTTTTTCAATACGGCATATTTCTTAATATTTTTTAAAAATTAATGATTACAGAAATAAATTCAAACACGATATTTCCTACAAATGACGATAAAATAACCAATTGAGAAACAAGAAATCTTTAAACGACCAAGTTTATAAGTAATAATATTTTAATATATTGTTATGAACACACAAAGGAACTAACGCCATCTAGCGTCAACTATTAAAATCACTAAAGAACAAAGACGACATAAAACCCCCTATTCAATACTAGAAGGCGTTAGAGGAACTGCTGTGGAACTATAGTCTCGAAAACCGGTGTTGGACCTAGTTCTAGTGAATAAAGTCTTCAAAAGAGTCAGCAGGTCTTTCTCTCCAAATCCTTCGAACCCCTAACACGTAACAATATTATATAAAATAATGTACCGTTTTTATGAAGAATATTTCAAAGAAATTTAGCGGTATTCATGCACATGCAAACTGCCGAAAATAAAACGATGACATAGTGAAGTAAAGTGAAAAACGATTTTCTTCAAAATAAGATGTCTCTGTTTGTTTAATTCATTATTACCTATTAATATATTACCATTCAGTGACTGGTACTGTGCGACAATTTCTCGTCGGTCAACTATTTTTAATGTTATTCACCTAATATTAATCGATAACCGCCGCCCATAGACATTTGCAACATCCGTAGGGTTGCATATATACGGGGCCCACTTTATTAAAAGTGACAACCACTCTTAATAAAGTGCGCCCCGTCTACCTCACTCACCAGACGAAAAACAGAAGTATAACACTTCCACTTTACGCCGGGAGGTCGTGGTACTTCCCCGGACGGACCTGCCCATTCGAGCAACAGCGAACTGTTGCGTGACTCTACCACAATCAGATCTCTTCAAAATTAAACGGAAAATGTACGGTGAGTGAGATTTAGTTTTGAGGTCTGCTATGTTTTTTGTATAATAAAAAATTGCTTATTCCATTAAATAATCAGGGGACGCAATCAAATCTTGCACTGGTACTCATAATCTCAGCTATGATGGTGCTCTAGTTACACATACAAATATCTATAATAAGTATCTATACTAACGTAACTAAAGTAACTAACTATGTTTATCAGTACCTAATACATAGTACATGTTTCGCTTAATTTGGAACTAGATACCATTTTATTCATACCTAGATACCATTTCATAGTGCTGACCTCATCTAGCTCTTGTGCGGCCTGTCCGTAACAGGCCCAAACTCCCTCGGCTCCAGGCGGTAGCCCTCGCACACTAGTGACACGGACTTGAATTTGAGACAGCACTGTCGCATAGACTCGAAAACGCGAGCGCAGCGAACCTCTTGGTAGTTATTCTCTGTATGGAGGAGAATGTTCAATTATTAATAGTGCATGATTTAAATTTAGTTAGTTATAAAAAATAATGATCGGACCATTTGGAACCACACGTCTCTACTGTTTTGCTGGGTAGTTACATATTTTCAATCCATATCAAGACTTGCTTAGAAAACGGGGTCATGATAAGTATCAAATTACTAAGTATCTAAACACACGCGTTTGTACAACGCAGCACGAGCACTGCAGCCAAGGTTGCGCAGGGCATGAGGGACAAGTTTGCAAACGATTTTAAACTAGGCTACATAGGAATAAAGGGAATGCTTCATTCAATATTATTACATCTAATTTATAAAGACACGACACATTTTATTTTAATGTGAAAAGTTGCCAAGCGAGCAGGTGGTTCACCTTATGTTGAGTGAATACCACCGCCCATGGACATCTGCTACACCCTAGGGATTGCAGATCAACCTTTTGAAAATTGGGCTCCGGCTACCTCACTCACCAGACGAAACGCGGAAGTATTATACTTTCACTTAACGCCGGTCTTCTGTGTGGTCGTGGTACTTACCCGGACGAGCCTGCCCATTCGTGCAACAGCCGAGGCTGCTGCGTGGCCCTACCACTGTATAAATTTAGTCTTCCCACATTTTGTCCTCTCGTTATATAAAATTCAAGAGATACGTTTAAATAATAATTTCTTATATTAACGTAGATATTACAAATTTCTTATCTGAAAATATTTTATTGCGTAGAATTTGTCGTGGTCAATTTTTGATTTTTAATAACCATACCATGGTTCAAACAGTCTGCAGCATTCCTACAGACACAATCGTCATTAAATAACTGAAACTTTATATAACTTTGCCATACCTACAGTTACCGCAATATGTCCCATCAGCGTTTAGCTATTTACGTATACAATGGTAATGGTTATCTTATACATGTTGCCACTCCAATGCGAGATTATTCTAGGCTCTTAGAAACTTGACTAGGAACCAAATCACAACTGCTCCAGTATCGTCGGCGCCAACTTTAAGCAATCTTCAGTGTATTTGAATAATTCACTGCTGGTGCCACCAAAATTTCCCGAGTACAGACGAACTGCCCACAAGTTGACGCCAACGTGTTGCAACTTAGTACCAAAGTGTTAAGAAAAGGTTGCAGCTTCGATGGCTCGAACCAATGACATAGAAAACGATCACCGAAACATCCGTTCTTCGGAGAACTCGATACGGCGGCGTTTAATCAGTGTATGACCTTGACGATTACCTACGCTGTTGCGTCACTGCGACGTGTGTGTGGGCGGGTCGTGACGCCGTGGTGGAGCCACGTAAGACTGCTACTCCGACGTTTACTCATACTTTTAAAGCCGACAAAACGTAAACGCGCACTGTTATGTTCGCAAAACTATTGTCCAGTGCAAAGTTACAGGAATCGAAAGGGTATAATGCGCGGATGCATGGGGGTATTGGGGCCATTCGTTGGCGCCGCACATTCAAAATAAGTCTCATATGTTTATTCTCCCATTACAAGCCAGCTCCCCTTACAAATTGGCGTGTAGTTGCCAAAAGCGCTGTTTAGATCTTATGCTGTTTTTAGGCATTTGTTTCTTCCATTATGCATGCACGGTACATGCAGAACGACGTATTATTATAGATTTCTAAAACATTTATCGCACTGGAGAAAAAATTTTGTTCAAAGAAATTCGCCCTGGCCTAGAAGGCCAGCGTGTCCTCGGACGTCAGTAACCGCTTATCACCAAGTATCCTGATATATATTTATGTGTGAACAAGTTTTCTGTTTATTACATAGACATGGCTGAGATGTGTGTTTTTCAATTAGGTATAATCCGGTCGAATACTTGACAAGACCAGTAGGTACTACGTATTTGAGCGGTTTATTGAGCTAGTTGAGCGAGTTCGATTGAGTTGTCAAATTAAGCGGACCCAATTATTTTAATCACACAGTTCGCATATAAACGTAGAGTAGTTATATTTATATTTCAAATATTAAAAACTACTGGCAAGCAAAAAATAACTACGATAGGACTGCTTTTAACTATTGGCTTCTAATTTACCTTCCGTTAATACCTAAGCGGACATTTAACCATAAACACGAGCATCGATCAGCATTCAAATTATCAGTGCGGCTGCGGTGACATAGTGCAATACATATCCGCACCTCATAGCAACTAACCGGGTGTCTCTATCTCAGTGATAAGAACTCTGAAGTTTTCAATAGATCCGCTCATTTTTCATGTCTTAAATAAAAATATATGTGGCAGAAGTCAATAACAATGCGGCAGAATTAAGACCCATTTACACAGTGCAAGTTTCTTGCCTGTAGTATACAATTAAATTGAAGCAGTAAATGAGTTGCATGGTCTAAACAGAACATAACATTCTTGCCTGTTGAACAAGACTTGCTTCAAGTTTTGTTTCAAAACTTTCCTTGGTGTAAACAGCACACACAATAATTTCTTAAGCAATTCTTGTATTCAATTGCATTCTCTCTTCCTTGGCAAAAATTTGTGCAATGAGTGAGGGTATTTAATCATTGCTGTTCTTTTGAGGATAGAAATATTGAGAAAAGGTCGTAAAAAAAGTTGGATAAAAATATGAATAATAATATATGGATCATAATAAATAAATCTCAATGAAATATATTTAATCGGCATAATCTAACTTGAACACTTATTATTGATCCATTTTTTTAAAAAAACAGCCCTTTGTAAAACGTTCAACAATTGCATGAAAAATTTGTCAACGCAAATACGTGCAATACTTGAAGCAACACGCCAATAAATTGTACACGCACATACAAGCATGTGTTTAGACAAGTCAAAACTTGAAAGCAATAATCGCCTAGACATAATTGCATTGGTGTAAACAAAAGACCTTTGCAATTATTTCCTGTCAAGACTTGCATACAATAATCGCATTCAATTTTTTTTACTATATCTGCGTGTATGTTGCTTACAATTCTTGATGGTCAATTATTGCGTGCAACTTATTGCATTCAATTATTGCTCTTGTATGTACAAGAAAATGGCATCGTGTAAATGGGCCTTTAATTCATCTTGGGTTTCTAATCGGTGACGGATACAGACCACCACGAGGCCGCATTGCGGTTTGATATTAGTAGTTATTAAAATGACTAGTGGTCGTAATTCGACCATAATTTATTATACATGGTAGAGCGTGTAACGCTTTTTTTTATTTTTTTTAATGTAGATTTTAGGCATAATTTAAAAAAAAATATTAGCATTCCGCACTTATTCATATAAACATTTAGCATTTATTCTATATAAACTGGGGGAAATTTCATACTCCTCAGTCCACACAATTTTCGTAAAAAGGGGTACAACTTACAAGTTTTTGCTTAACATATTAATATGAAGATATAAAATCTTTTGTTAATTTAAATACATGGAAGGGTCAAACAAAATGGCATCTGCAATTTATACATATATTTTATTAACAATATTATATAATCGACATGCGCTCTTAAACTCTTAAAAAAGGATACGTTTTATACAATAATTACTAAAACAAAATAATCTGACGGTTACAGATATAACAGTGTTTTACATAACATGGCCTTTCTATTTTACATAAAAATATTGAAATATAACTATTAGTAACCGACTGTGGCTTATGCACTATCTTCGCAGCAATCACTTTGCAATTACATTTATTAATTTCATTTAGAATTTAAACCTAATTATATATGTATTATTACTCTGTCTCCACAGTCAGCTCATTAAAACCTAAACTCTAAATGTTAATTTCTTTATAGTTACAATTTTAGTATACTTTTTACACACTATAGTCTTATAGATTCATTTTCATATTGTTGACACTATGTAAATAAAATTGGACAAAGCCAGCATATCATAGAACTTATTTACCATGAAATGTACTAACAGTACAAATGCCTGCTTGCTAGTTATAGCGAAATGTGTTACCATTCACCATTATGTAATAAATTAGTAAATAAGATATAAATGTGTATACAACAATCATAATTGTTACAACGCATCCAATCGCTGTCTGTAGACACACAGTAAATGAAGAAAAAGGTGAATGACTAAGAATTATACCAAGTACTTTTAACAGTCAATAATAGAGAATTCCATTTATTACATAATTTATCCAATCAAAACTGTTGTTATCACTACATGAATATTATACATAATTTTTATCATATGAGTAGCTGTTGACTTTTAATTTTAATAATATACACAGTTCATGTGAACTTAAAAATATATATTATAATAAAAATACATGATTCAATGTTACAATTTCCTGACAAACTAATCAATATGCAATTGACGGCCAGAGTACAACCGCCATTACCAATTGAATCAAATTGATGCCGGCAATCAGCTCTAAAATGTATTGTGTGCCATGTGATATTTTTAACAGATAAATATCCAGCTTTTTGCTTTCATTCTCATAATATTCCAACAGAAAATTTTTATTAACTAGTAATCAGATATTTTTGTACAGAAAATATTTTTAAAATAAATAAGCAATTACATTGACAAATAATTCCACTCAAAGGTAAACACATTTTTTGTTCATTAATGAACAAATTTAGATAAAATTTATTCCATTTTTCAGCAATTGCAAAAGATCGCCAAATTAAAAGAATTTGTATAAATAGTAAAACATGAAAATGCATCTTCAATTTCTTGCATCATGTTAAGAGAAAAAGAAAACTGATTAAACAGAACCATGTCCTAACGTTCCTATTATGAGCTACTTCAAATTTATTTTTAAAACCCTAGTATTAATAGGGAGTGAACAAATTTTTTAATGGTTTTTATTATTCTGCTCCTGATTGGAAACCAAAACAAACAAAATTGAAAATGATGATATTATCAGTTTGTTTGATAATGTAGCAATGTAAATGAATATTTTGCATTAAATGTTTCTTTATGCTAAACAAGTGACACTGGATCAACTAAAGAGTACATGTTTGATAAGACATAAAGTGCGACTATTATTGTGTAGAATGTTGAATGATCTTTTTTACTATAATGAACTTATTGAGTTGTTATGAACTTTAAGTTATTTTTGTAATATGAAGCTGATAACAAACAAGAAAGCAGCATCAAACCATGTTTATATGTCCAGTACCACTTAACAAGCAACTTAATATAACTGTATCAATTGCTACAATACCATGGAACTTGTTTTCTTATCATATTAATATTTAATTAGACACATTTCTATATTGGATCTATTGAAGTTACAGTAGTGAATTACTGGAAATGTTACTACTAGTAACCATCAGCCTATAAATAGTCTACAATGCCTTTTAAAAATAAACTTTTTTTTCTTCAAATAAATATGAACTATTGCTAAACCAAATTATTTGTATAACATGGTTTTTGAGTGAGAATTTTATTTCATTTTGTATTTCCATAATCATAGCAGCATGTTGACTCTATGCAACATATAAAAAGTAAAAAAGTAAAGAGAAGCTGTTGACATTTTTCAATAGCTATATACACAATTACATTTCAATTTTAATATGCATAGTGAACATGACTTGTTTGAAATAAGAAAAAAGTTAAGCGATAAGTGATTTGTGTACACCAATAAACTTTTCTCTGGCCTTAAACATAAAACTCCAATGTGCATATATATATGTGATTTCATAATTGGTGTACTTTTTTTGTATTGTCTTACAGATAACCATCAATTGTGGTTATAATGATTAGAACAAATTGAATTATTAACCATGTGTAGAAAACACCAACATGTATAACATAGAAACAAAAGTATAGCTATAAAAAGCGAGATAACAATGTCCATCTATTTGATATACATAACTATTTCTTGATGCTTTAAACAATTGCTTTCAGATATGAAAACACACAGTTCATATCGTCAGTGACCACATCACCAACTTTGCATTTACATAATGGCTATTGACTGGAATCTGTTTCTACACTTTCAGGTTGGCTTAGAATTGGTTTTTCAGTTAGTTGTGGTTTTTCTGCTACAAGTGGCTTCTCAGGTATTTGCGGTTTCTCTGGAATCTGAGGTTTTTCCGCAATTGAGGGTTTTTCTGCTACCTGCGGTTTATCAATTTTTTGCTCTGGTGGTGCCACAGAATTTTCATTGTCATTAGTAAAAATTGGCTCATGTACTTCCTTATTTTGAATGTGTGCATTAGCTAATTGGTTTGTTATCACATCTGGTGTTTCTTGTTCCATTTCAGATGGTCCATTCTGTTTGTTAGTATCAGGTACTGGTGATACAGCGGATCTGAGAATTGAGTTTTCTGGAATTGAAGGTGATACTCCTCTAGCGGAATTGTCTTCACTAGATACACTGTGTTGTCTCTGTGCTGACATGTTTGATGGATGGGACAATGTCTGTGGATGGTGCGGATTATGTAACGGCAATCTAGATTTGTCACTCTTCCTCCACAAAGTAACTTCCTGTTGTTTAAAATAACGACGGTCTTCCGTATCCATTAGCACAAGATTTAGGTAGTATCTTACTGAAAATTTATTATTTATATCTCTCATAGTAGGAGTCAGGTCATATCCCGCTAAAAACACCCTGATTGGAATACTCTCTCCCCTAACTGGAGCACCATCCATTATTTCATACTTAGCAACTGTCTCATTTTCAGTGAATGTATTGGGTCCAGAACCAGTTGTTTCCCGTTTGATAATAGAAATTTCCATATGTTTAATTTTAATGCGCACCAATAAAAAGTAGATTTTGCCAACAATGACATCCTTCAAATGATATTTGGACTTGTTGTATTCAAATTCAATGTGAAGACAGTCCTCTATTCCCACTTCCATTTTAATAGAGTTTAGAACATCAGGATAGCTGCATAGGGTGTGAACAGCAATGTCGACCTCCTTCACGACATCAGTAAGACGGCGAACAATTGTTGCGCGAAGGAAATACCTTAATCTGACATTAGCACCAGTATATACCTCATACGGTTTTTCAACATTTGCAAATTCAAACGGGTATGAAGTGTGCTGAAGCAAGTCACCGGGCCTCGCTAGCTCTTTGACCAATGATATAAATTCGTGGTGATTTCCTCTATCATAGAACAACTCTATTTGACCAATGAGTTCTACTTTAATTCCTTGATGTTCTAACTTTGATCCCGGTTTCCGTAAAGTCACATTAACGCGTCCGGATACCGTTTCGCCATCATAATATAGTAATAACTTCTCCTTTTTACCATCATCCGTTTTCACCTCGGCAACTTTTCGTTTGTCAGCATCATCAAACACGATTTCAATATCGGCAGTCTGTCCGAAACCGAAAAAACTCATTTTTGCAACTTAACTGTTATGCAAGACACTAGAAACTATTTACACAGCTTTAGACAGCAACAGTAATGATATAATTGAGCAAAACATTGAAATTCGGCGATGAAACGCCCGCAAATCCGTGGAGGCGACTGAAAGGTTGAAGCAAAGATGGCGACTAATCTTCGTCGGTTGTCGGCAAGACGATTAATAAATAAAATAATGGTTGATTTACTTACCAGACAGGCATTTCTGGATCTCACAAGCTAATTTCTTACAGGGGTCAGTCGGCATATATAAAAATAACGTCTATTTTTACGAGAAAACGAAATCTCAAATTTCATTCGTGAACATGTGATTTTTTTTATGGCAAGAATGATATGATATGATAATATTGGCCATTTTGTAATAATCAATAATATGAGAGTACATAATACATTTGAATATGTCACAAGTAATTTTTAACAGTTATAAGATGATAATAGTACTTCTACGTTATTAATTAAAATGATAAATGTTATATAGTCATAGCTGGGTTACTTTATTTCAAAATAGCACAAACATAACCATAGATTAGTGTTAGTGCCTTGACTTGATTGCCCATGGCTGCCAACCGACTACCTTTGCCCTTTTTGTATTAAATGGTGGCACGCAACAAAATATTATAACGAAAGTGAAGATATATCTTGGTGTGTAACAATATATTATTTAAAATTTAGGAACTTATCATGGAAATTACTCGCACCACACTTGGGATCGCAGTCGGCATAGCTGGAACCCTATTTTTAGGCTATTGTGTATATTTCGATCAACAAAGACGTAAGGATCCTCTATTCAAAAAGAAGTTAAGAGAACGTAAGTATCTTTTCCTAAAAATTTCCTAATGTGGGAGTAATTGAATTCTTTACCTATTGGCTGAATAAATTTTCATAGGGTTCAATAATTGTTAAAGAATATTCGAGTTGTATAACAACCTATAATTTTTTTTCTATACAATCGTAACCAGCACTACTAAGAATAAGATTTTCAATACCTATAAATTTGTACATGTCATAATATCAGTAAGGTTTGTTTTATAGTAGTAAATATCAAAGCAATATACCGTATGCACTTTACGAAATACACTACATGAAATCTAACAACTATTTATAATTTTATCAAAAAAATTAATATACGTTTGTTAAAGACCTGTTAACTAACTTTTCGTCGTACTGTAATAGACGCAAGATATGAATACGCAATCTGCTAGTCATATTTTAATGGCAGATGTCTTAGAATTTGAGGTTATTATTTTTTAATGTTACTTCAACCACATGTAAAACTTACACAATCATTTTTCTTTGAAAAAGCTGTAACTAATTTAGCATTTTACATTTTTGATATTTAGAAAATAAACATAGTTAATAATATAAAAAAATATGTATGTATTATGTGGGTATATAATAAAAACTCAATTCTTTTGGCACCCTATACATAACACATTTCCATATGTAAAAATCTAATTTTATTTGTAAAATAATTTAAAAAAGCTTTTTGCCATTATTATGTAATATGGCATAGCATGAGTGCGCAAATCTACAATGTTCTATCTCAGTTATGTCAAATTGCAGAATGAATATAAATGTTAAATCACATAAAAAAATTGTTTTTTTAATAAAATCCTTCAAATTCATTCTAAAGTTTTTTAATGTAGACACATTATGATGTGCTCGGATGGTAAAATACAAGTTAAACTTATGTCTATATATATACAGTAGAATTAATACGATTTCTCTCATAATATGCTATTTTACACCAGTCCCTGCAACTTGAGACATGATTCATACATTTAACTGACTGAAGAAATTAAAGAAAAATACAGAGTGGGAGGTGTGCATAGAAAAAAGCAAAACAGAAAAGTTTGATAACAAGCTTTAAAACCGCTCATAAGTTGCCACATAATATGCGAGAAACTGCATAAAATTGCTGAAAGATAACAGATCACTGATTTTGATTGCTGCAATGCTTCAAATGCTTAAGACTCGTTTTTGGTTGAGTCCCTGTGAAATTGTCTCAAACAGGTTTTACTGTATAACTATATATTTAATTATATATTTTATTATATATATTTTATTACTGTGTAACATTATATTTATATATGGAAATGTTGCCAGTTCTGAAATTTTTTTTTAATGTGATAAGATGGCAAACAAGCTGACTTTTATGGGGAGTATATACTTTTTGTTTTGAATCTTTTTTAAAATGCTCCTCTCAAAAATCTTCGCTTGTAGGCAGACAGAAGGCTCATCAGAATGCATCTCGTTCACGCACTCTCGGTGGTCCATTGCCTGACATGAGTGACCATGAAGCCATGCAAAGATTTTTCTTGCAACAGGTAAGTTAATAATTTAGAAAGTCTTTTTCATATTAATTTTACCTCAACTTCTACTTTTTGATAGTGTCCTTAATAGCATAGCCCAAGGGAACCCCACAAAAGAAATGTATATGAAAAGTTAAAGTATAAATGCATTTACTATATGTCTTACTTAAATAGACTGGTGTCATGATATTATTTTATATTTAATTTACGAAATTTGCATGTCTGCATTTATGTCATGGTTTTAAAATAACATTAAATAACTGTTAAATATAATACTTTTCATAACTGTTAATGACAGATCCAACTTGGTGAAGAACTTCTCGCTGCTGGTGATTTAGAAGCCGGTGTTGAGCATCTGGGTCAAGCTGTTACTGTGTGCGGACAGACTCAGCAGCTCCTAAGTGTGAGTTAATATTTATTATCTTTAGTAGTTTGAATATATTAGTGTCAAGGTCACCTTTTTCAGTTGTTGCCAAAGATTGCAATGTCAGATGTTTTATAAATGTACAGCATGATATACATAATATGTGCTTATTACAGAGTTGTTTACTTTTCTCCAAATGTTGCAATAAAACAACCCACATTGCAATAAAACAATTTGCGTGGCAAACGCAACAGCTTCGGCTGTTACACAAATGGGCAGGTCCGTCCATTTGAGAACCACAACCTCACAGAAGAACGGCGTGAAGTGGAAGTTTCATACTTCTATGTTTCTTCTGGTGAGTGAGGTAGCCAAGGATCACTTTATTAACAGGTGACAATGCATCTGCAATGCTACGGGTGTTCCAAATGTCCACAGGCAGTTATCGCTTAACATCAAGTGTCCATCTCACTTAAAAAAAAATTAAGTTACTTTTTTGATCCTACTTGATGTAAGTACGAAAATTTTTTATTGCTGGACAATTATTTCGATCTGAGACTTTCACTGTCTAAGCCATAGCAAAAAAACTTGTTGTTTCTATGCTCCAGTGCTTGCAAGAAAGTTCTTATTTAATACTTTCAATTACACTCCACTCCAATGAATATTTGTAAGGCTTAGTTGATTATTACAATAACAAAGTAGACATTTGTTTTAAGTAACCAATGTGTTTTAAAGTAATTTATAATTTATGCTTTTGCCACTGATTTGCTACTTAAGTAATAGGAAATTTGATTAAAATGCAACCCGAGTGTTTAAAAAGTATGTAATGTATAAAAGATTTAAAAAAATAATTTATCGAACAACCTTGATTGATTACTTATATAATTAAAATATTACTATAGCTGTCTACTTTTGTTTTTGTAGGTCTTGCAACAAACTATGCCAGCACCGATCTTCCATCTACTCCTCAAGAAGCTGCCTGAGGTGTCTGAGCGCCTACGCGCTTCAATGAAAGCCAACGGCAACTCCTTGCAAGAGGAGGATGTTGAGTAAATCAAATGCGTTGTAATGGCTGAAGGTGGGAGGACAATTGATGTCAAACAGGTGGACACTTCTTAATTGGCCTATAAATTGTTTGTTTTTTCTAAGCTGTTTAACTGGTCCTCAAATATGATAAAGTAGGAGTAGTTTCTCATATGAAGAGGAATATTGTTTAACAGTCTCAATTTAATTAATAAAAAGACAAAAATCATTTAAGTTATTTTAAAATCTTATTAAGAAAATATTTGATTCATGTAACAGTTTTGCAAAAATTTAAATATGTTCAAGTCATTAAAATCCAAAGGTTCGGTACTTTAAATTAAATTATATTCTTTCAACAGGAATAGGCTCAAAGCTTTTAAATTCTTCAACATTATTTAGATGTTTCTTTTAGGATAAGAAATTTGCTGGCTGTTGCCTCAGACTTAAACCAAAAATCTTTGATTCAGTGTTTTTTTAATTGAAAAATAGGTGTTATTTTTTAATTATGTAACAAAGGCATATTTTAGTGTTGATATCCAGAATAAAAATTAAATTAAGATATGGAGCATTTGATAAATAATTATAATTAGCTTAACATTGTGTTCTATTACCATTTGATCTTTAAAAACTGTTACTAATAAGTTACTTGCAATTGCTGCTAATTAGTACTTGACTAGGATCGCACAAACTGCCATAGGAAATAACGGCAGTTGTTGTGACAAGAGTGTCAAGTGTCTGAAAAAGAATAACCTTACAATATTAATAACTTAGTTATTTGTTAGTGTTATTAGATATTGTGTGCCCAAATGGTTGAATGCTTGAATTTCGATTGTGTTTTATTGTGAAATAAAAGGATTGTACAATAAACTTTTGTTTAATTCTTGAAGTGCAAAGAACGCAATGCATCATTAAGCTAGACAAGTAAAATAACCAACTAATATGTCTATTTTTTTGTACTAAGTTAAGCTTCATTCAGTGAAAGAAAACACAGAAGTCCCATGTCATTCACCAATTTATTTCAACATAAAGATATATATATATATTAGTACTAAAATAAGTACTGCGATAAATAATGTCCCATAATAAGTAAGTACTCCCATAACAAAAACAACTTATAAAAACAGCTATTTACAAATTATGACTATCTACCATAAAGAGCAATAAGTGTACTAAAACAACATTCCATTTATTTGAGAGGTTACATTCTTGTAAAAGGTTTGCGCACTTTCAAATATATGGTAGGCACCGATAGCATATTAATTTAAAAATTATATAACTTCATTGAAACATTTTATTCTCTACATCCATATCCCCATTCCATTTTGCTATTATTATTATGATTTCCATTTAGACACTAAAGCTACCACACGAAAGATAGTTAATGTGGAGCAATACTTGCAAGTGTTAAACGAATAACTGCTAATAGTAGCAAGTGACCGCATAATTGTTGCGATAGTTCTTCTGCTGTGTTATAATGTTGCTAAAATATTGCTCACAAAAAGCAACTCCGTGTAGCTACACTGAGGGCCTCGCCTACAATCAATAAATTTATATATGCCAATTAGAGTCTTACATTAATTCACGAAGAACTGTACAATAACCAAACAGCCTTGTACATACATTACTAAAGACAACAAAAGTGAGGCAAGAATGATTGAAAAATTATTGCCTTTAAGAATTGAGTTTTTCAGTGTTATAATTGTTTTGAAGAGTCATTCATTATATGAGGAAATCTGAATTTAAATTGAAAATGTGATACATATCGGTGGAATATTCACTTACCCGTACACTTACCAATCTATTACTACTAAAAACTGCGCTTTATCATAACGCAGGTATACTCAACAAAAATTACAACATTGAATGGCATTTCAAGGAACGGGTTCGACAGACAAAAGATGTGATCGCGGAATAGCATGAAGTTTCTTAAAAAGGATCGTAGCACCATGTATATAATTCTTATGCAAGAGTTCGGACATCAGGACTTCTGTGCGGCCGCGGCGCTCCTAATTATATCCTGGGTCACCTTCATCACGTCCAGGGCGCCTTTGGATATCAGCGTGTTGGCCAGGTCCCTGCCCAGGTTGTCGCAGCTGATTATCACCTCGTCCGGAATGCTGCCGTTTCGCGATAGGCCGCAGAATATCCTCGGCTGCCTAAGGGCGGCGATCTCGTCGGGCGATCGCGTGTCGACACAACTCACCCCCCTGCCCTCGGATATCCTCCTGTTCAGCTCTTCCACCGGATTCGGGCTGGCACCGGCCCCGTTCTTCCTCAGCTTCTTGGACTGCGCCTCCTCCGTCGGGCTGAGCTTGTGCTTCTGCGTCTTCCTGATCGCCGGCAGCGCTTGCTCCAGCGTGTGCCCGATCCTAGTGGTGCCGTCCATGCTCCACACGGCCCCGTCTATCGTCAGCTTGTACTGGGCGTCCATTTGCCTCAGCTTCGTGGACACGCCCACCGGTGCGCTGCAACCGCCGCCTGCGAGATGAGATTGATTTAAAAAAAAAAAAAAGGGTTATTATAATATAAATGAATACATTTACGATGATAACCCCCTGGGAATGAGATGATCGCTCCTAAGCAGTTTCTAAAAATGTGAAAAATGTGTGTCTTTGTGAAAAAAAAATGACAAAAAAGAGGACACCTACGAGAGATTTAAAAAAATGACTCGATAGATGAAATGTATATGTCTTATTTCTGTGAATAAATGATTTGATTTCACATGACTTGGTAATGAAGGCCCTCTGAGGCCTCTGATCAAAATGAACCCAAACTCGCCTTTTAGTCGCCTTGAACGAAAAGATTCTATAATTATTATGATTTGTGTGGAAGTGTTCGGGTAGTCAGTTCCAAGGACAACTGCGACCTATATTGTAGTCTTCCCTACTAGTTAGATAGCATCCTCCAAGCCAACAACCATAATGAACTTTCGCTGAAAGGTTAAGAATCAGGGCCAATTGGGCCCTCCCAATTCCCCTCTCCTAATATTTGCTAGGGCATCGCATTAACAAATAATGTGAATCGGTGTCTTATCACCGCAGAATTTACATAATGGGCTCTTCGACGCTCCCATTCTGTTTTTGTGCTTGAATTGATTTAAAAAAAAAAAAAAAAGGGTTATTATAATATAAATGAATACATTTACGATGATAACCCCCTGGGAATGAGATGATCGCTCCTAAGCTGTTTCTAAAAATGTGAAAAATGTGTGTCTTTGTGAAAAAAAAATGACAAAAAAGAGGACACCTACGAGAGATTTAAAAAAATGACTCGATAGATGAAATGTATATGTCTTATTTCTGTGAATAAATGATTTGATTTCACATGACTTGGTAATGAAGGCCCTCTGAGGCCTCTGATCAAAATGAACCCAAACTCGCCTTTTAGTCGCCTTGAACGAAAAGATCCTATAATTATTATGATTTGTGTGGAAGTGTTCGGGTAGTCAGTCCCAAGGACAACTGCGACCTATATTGTAGTCTTCCCTACTAGTTAGATAGCATCCTCCAAGCCAACAACCATAATGAACTTTCGCTGAAAGGTTAAGAATCAGGGCATCCTTGGTTGCCAATTGGGCCCTCCCAATTCCCCTCTCCTAATATTTGCTAGGGCATCGCATTAACAAATAATGTGAAAGTAAAGTAAAAGTAAAGTATCAGCCTATACATGTCCCAATGCTGGGCAAAGATATACTCTGTACAGAGAGTATCAGGGCATAGTCCACCACGTGGCCACACTGCGGATTAGCGGGCTTCACATATTTTCGAAATATATTTTTTTGTTATTATTTCGAAAATATGCAGGTTCCTCACGATGTTTTCCTTCACCGCTGAGCACGTGATAATTCAGCACTTAAAATTGACAATTTCATTGGTGCCGGCACCGGGGATCGAACTCAGGTTGCTCGAGTATATTGAATTAAAGGCGAGCGCCCGGACACTGAGCTATCACGGCTCCTTAAATGTGAATCGGTGTCTTATCACCGCAGAATTTACATAATGGGCTCTTCGACGCTCCCATTCTGTTTGTGCTTGTCTAACTTACAGTGCCTTAATGAGATACATTGGCGCTGTTCTATAATCTCAGCTGAAGTGTTTGCGCCTGTGGCAACCTGTCGGCAACTTACCCAGGGTATTCATTACAAAATAGTTTCGTAAAGAAGGGCCCTGATCCATCCATGTCAGGGGAAAAGTGAATATATACAAAAAAGACTTACCCAGGGTCTTGAGGAAACTCCTCTCCGCGAGCACCCGACAGTAGGTCTCTGGGTGGTTGAAGGGGGCCAGCATGCTCAGTATCTCATCGTTGTCGGAGCGACACTCCACTGCTAGAGCGCCTTGGCCCACGGCGTACATTATCTCGGAGCAGGGAAGGATCTGCGAATAGAAATATTGGAGTCAACATTAGACTAAACTATTGTCGATGTAATCGCGTTCACTTGTGTACCTATTGAGGGGAAAAGTTAACTTTTTAGTCGTAATGTTACTTTTTATTGCCGAAATTAAAATTACTCTTGCGTTATATTTTTAAGACAAAACTTATAAGAAAGTTCTTATAAAACACCATACATTCCATAAGGTTGTGTACGCAGAAACCGCTGGAATTTGAGAACAGGAGGAGACAAAGTGTTGATTGCATGACCTTTACGTGGTAGGCAGAGACTAGGCATGAGATATACGAGTAACTGCAACATTCTATACCCGGCCTCAAAGGTACGGGTATCGCCGTATACCCGGTGCTAAATCCCAGTATCAAAATACCTATAAGTATTAGTTATGTTCAGGCCTCCCTTTGGAGACTCGGTCGAATCAAACGAATTGAACCTTTGGTTGGAATTGGAACGTTTAGATGTTTTTTTAGCTATCAGTTTTTTTTAATTGAGATTTAATCAGCATAAAATAAGCTCCATCTTTACTAACGTAAAGAACCCTATTATCAAAAAAAGTAATTCAAAATAAATATTACTGTTTAACCTTATTACGCAATTATTTATCTACCTAATTGTCATAGAAATAAAGAATAAATTTATCTCAAAGAATTATTTGGTATAAAATGCCTAAATCATACGTTTCAATTCGGGCATGATCGAGAAGAGCCGCCGTAAGCGTTCGGGGAACTTCGTACCTATTCGGCCGGCGGGTTGTCGCGACCGCGAGCGTTATGAAATACCGCCACCGTCCGACGAGGCGGCCATACCTATCGGGTATGGAACGGGCCTCTGCCGTACATACCCGGTGTGCGTACTGGTATGTTCATACTGGGTATCTATACCTGTGCCAGTATATACGCCTCATCCCTAGCAGAGACAGCTCAGTAGCCTCGAGTTATGTCGCAGTGGACCCAAATGTGGGACGGTATTCTTTGCACGCGAGAAACCCGAACAACTAATCTTTTTTTCATGTTAAAAATTGACAAGCGAGCAGGCTGTTCACTTAAGTGTTAAGATGTTAAGTGATTACCGCCGCCCATGGACATCTTCAACAACTGGGATGAGTTGCAGACATTGTCAACCAATTAAAAAAGTGGGCCCCGGTTACCCGACTCGCAAGACGAAACGCTAAATTACAATACATACTTGCCCTTCACGCCGGTCTTCTGTGAAGCCGTGGTACTTCCCAGGTTAAGCCTGCCTATTCGTGGAACAGTTGCTGCATGAACCTACAAGAGTGAGCTAGTCTTAGGGTCGCAAGTGCGACGTCCCTGCCACTATACCACCATGATTAGTATCGATACATCACCTTATTTATTGCACGTGTCAAAAGCATGCAAATGTCTTAGCTTTAAAATTGTCCACTGCATTCGCGTTTTGATTTTGTGTTCCGTACCCAAAGGGTAAACCGGGGCCCTATACTAAGACTCCGCTGTCTGTCTGTCATTCTCGGCCCTATCCACTAAGGTGGGCCTACCCACTGAGCCGGCCCTATCCACTAAGGTGGGCCTACCCACTGAGCCGGCCCTACCCACTGAGCCAGCCCTACCCACTGAGCCAGCCCTACCCACTGAGCCAGCCCTACCCACTGAGCCAGCCCTACCCACTGAGGAGCGCCTCAAACCCGTGGGTTCTGGCTAGCCCACCGCTTTTGCGTTCGATGAAGCTTTAATAGTCTAAAGACTGAAAGCGTAACATCAGTTATAAAAATAAAAAAAAATTGAAAACTGTCATTCTGTGTCTGCTTACTTTGGAAACACGATGCGCCCATCCCATTCGCTGGAGGCCGGCGTTGGCCAGCAAGAGCGCTGAGTAATCCTTGCTGGCTGCGTCAAGCTTCCTGAGGCGGGTGTTCAAGTTGCCCCTGACGTCGACCACGGAGAGGTGGGGATACGCGCCCCTGAGTTGAGCGGTGCGTCTTAAAGAAGACGTGCCTAATGAGACATATCTTTTTGTTTCAAATGGATGGATCATACTTTCAAATAGTTAAAAAAAATAAAAAAACAAAGCTTCATTACATTTATCAGGATATTGATCTCTGCTATGAATAATTCCTTAAAACTCTGATTTTGTAATATAGATTGCAATGCAAAGTCAGACTACAAGTTAAGCTTAATTAATTAATAGTACCCGGAGGACCGAGCTTGGCTCGGTTTGTTTTTTTTTTGGTAAATGGTGTATTTTGGAAATTACATTTAGATACAAATTACTGAGTAATGAAATATGCATAATATTTTTCGATCTTACCGACGTAATAATAAGAAAATATGAACTGATGTTTTTCACAAAAGAAAGAACTTTAAAAAAAAAAAAGGGAAAAAAAAAAAAAAAAACAAAATAACAAATCGACAAAAAATTAAAAATAAAGCAGGCAATGATCTGGAATCGAAAAAAAAGTAAAAAAATAAATGTGTAAATGATCGTGACGCGAACCACGGCCGTCTGTTTTGGGGCCGCCCGAATACCGACCGAGCTATTTTGACCGAGATTCCATATTATATTGCGGCGAAATATATATATATATATATATATATATATATATATATATATTATATTAATCGGAATCTCGGAAAACGGCTTCAGCGATGAAATTTAGGTGCATTTTCGGGGGCGAAAAAATGAAACTAGCTAGGTTTCATTTTTTAGAAAATCGATTTTTCGAGAATGAAAAAATCTATGCGAATATGACTAAATTTCGCCGCAAGAGAAAATGAAAATCGCTGGAGCCGTTTTCGAGATTCCGATTATATATATATACAAGAATTGCTCGTTTAAAGGATAAGAGAGATTTAATAATTAACAATACAATAAGCTTAAATAATTAATAAGAAAGATACACATTTCTAAACACAATTGCGATAGACAACAGTTAGATGTCAAGACGACAAGGCCGTTCGGCGAGTTATCGAACTGTCACAGTTAAAAGGTAACGACCCCGTGAATTCCTTATCGTATTTCAGACGAGTTTTGGCAAAACTTTAGGTACAGTTGTAACGTCGGTTGGTGATTACAAAACGACATCTTTCAATAGAACCACATTTTTTTGTCCAGAAACCAGCGAGTTCTTGACACAGGTCTTCACCAGACTATTTGGTGCAGTCGCCAAGGCGTTGGCTTCAGCGCCGCGTCGTGGGTTCGATTCCCACATGTGACAACTACTCGTGTGACCCACGAAAAGTGCGAACAACGGCTTATATTAAGAAATTACAATACGTAAATAGAATGTTACTACACTTACGCCAATTACTGTTTTCTTTTATAAGGATAAAAATATTTAAGCCAGTACAATATTGTAGAATAGTGTGGTTAATATTGATTCACCTATAACCGAACCCGCCGGGAGTGTTTTGAGGCTGTGCGAGCTCAGTTCCTCCCGAAGCACCAGGGCGTCCCTCGGATCCTCTCTGTAACGAAAATATAAAATATTTTATTGCCACTAGGGTGACCATGCATAAGTGAAGGCATTCCCATCTTAGGGTATCTTAGAGCATCTTAGGTAACATAATCGGGCATTCCTGCAAAGGAATGCCGATTTTACAGAAGAAAAGCCTGTTTGAAATTTAAAAAATGGCTGCGGTAGGTAACAACATCATATTAATGTTCGAAATGCGACAAAGGGTTAATGCGAAAATAGATTTCGATATTTCAGTGTATGAATTCAATATATGCCACCAAATTACGGCCACGCAACAGCCTCTACGTTGCACGAATGGGCAGGCTCGTCAGGGAAAGTACCACGACCTCAAAGAAGGAGAGTGAAGTGAAGGTATATATACTGTATTGTATATGAGTCATGATGCCGCGACCCATATGAAAAGTATGTTAAACGCTACCTTTCCTGAGCGACATGGACAAAATTGGAGAGAAAGATTAAAAATTTTTTGAAGTAGACCTATTGAATTAATTTAATTTATTCACCTATTGAATTAATTTAATTAATTCAAAAGTGTTCACTTGACGGCTGCGAAGGATATCAATTTCATTTCATGAAGAATATTTATTATATTTATATTACGTACCTAAATTTGGTACCAATTCCAGATAAGCAATGAATCAATGCGAAACATGATATAGAAATAGTTGACACCCTAACTTATTTGGGAGAGTATGTGTATGTGTGTGTGTGCGTGTTTCCACTGCATCTTCATGACGCAACGACTGAACGGATTTAAATAAAATTAAATAAAATACAAGTATGTAAGTTTTAATCGCGTTTAAATGTCCAATTTCGAATATTCAATCTTGTGTTATTTCAGGGTCAACGTGTGCAGCTGAGAGCAGTAGATAAAAAAAACATGCCCCTGGCGCACTCAGGGAAACAATCTGAAATTAACTGATCGGTGATTTCTCGCTAGAAATCGATATAATATTAAGATAAGATATTTGTATATCATACGGCAGATAAGCAGTAAACGAAACAGCGCCAAACAACGACGAACCAAAATAATATTTAAGAATCAAATGCATATCTAATCAATGGCCGAAACTAAAACATCAACTCCCTTGTCAGTAGCAACAAGTCAGTCCAAATGTGGATTCAAGATGACTCAACAATAGAACTACATGTGGCCATTCGTAATTCAATCTGAGTCCGAGACTACAATACTTTACGAATAATGACGTAACCAGGATTTGGTTAGATAAATAGCAATGGCGCCGAGCATAAAAATGCAATTAAAGCAAAGTAAATACGTCAAGATTTTCGCGCAGCGAGGAAATTGGCCGCTTAGCTTAGTGACTAGAACGCCTGAGCGCTACCCAGAAGGCACATAATGTTATCTAGTGGTAACTGATAAAAAAAATTTTATTGTAAATAAATACAGATTATAGATATAAAAAACATTAGAAAAACACGATGTTCATCGCACAATATTTTTCCAGTAGTGAGGATTGAACCCACACACCTTGACGCAAATTTTCTATCCACTACGGCAATCGGGTCGTCAACTTACTTAACAATATGTTTTTTAATTTATTGGGACATAAAACAGAATTTCTAATCATTTAATTAAACGTATAACCAACACTATTGTCCGCAAAATAATATTAAGTGAAATAAAATGTTGAAATTAAAATGTACCAGTCATGAATCACATGCATCATTGCATGTATATTATTTAACTCGTGTTTCAAGTGTTAATAATAATCATTCCCTTGCAAAACTTTCCTAGCATTTTTACAATGTCGAATCCACCAACACTGAGCGTGTTGGTCACTGGCATCATTAAATGGGCATTCCGATTTTAATAGGGCGTCCATTTAAAACTATCATTACAAATGTAAAACGTTTTATTGTGGTGCCAATAGTATATTATATTATATCGTATACTACTAGCGACTCGCCCAGCGAACGCTGTTGCTTGCCCTTACAACAGTTCAATTTTTAGAGTAATTTCTCAAGTGGATTTACGGCCACTTCCTATAGTATTTCTACAAATAGATTTGGATACTGGAAATAGAATTTTGACGTTAGTAGTATGGAGCTAATGTCAAATATCTATCACTAGTAACCAAATCTATCTGTAGAAAGAATATAGGAACTGGCCGTTAGTGATTTTAGGCATAGATATGAAAGTTAATTTTGTTTATATTTAAGTAACATTTCATCCGTTGCAATTTCAGGTGGAGTAAACAGTGTTTACAACAGTTGTTAACCATTTTGCATACATACAGACAAAAAAATTTTTTTTACGATCTTACACAACCCACATACTTCTATCACAGTCTGGATTTAAAACTTATAGAGAGGAAAATCATTCATTTTTATTTATAAGAACATGATAGACTTGAATAAATAATTAGGTACAACGGAACAATTACTCCGTACTTCAGCCTTGCTTCGAAGTATTACTATACAGTAAAGTACCTAAGCATTTTTCAAGGTCTAATTATTTATATGTATATACGGTATATAACGTCACTTCCTTAATGTACCATATTTAAAATATGACCAGGCCAGAAAATAAATTGGCTGGAAAAGTAAAAAATATTGTTGGAATAAAAAAAATTGATAAATAGAGGTCACCTCAGCATAGGTAATATGGCTCAATTTTGAATAGGTCTTCTCTTTGGAGTGCAAGGAAATGAAAAGAGATATTTCTGATGGGAAAAATCTTTTTATAATTCGTGAAAAACTTTTATAAAACAAAATTCATCCTGTTACTTTTCGGTTCAAAATTTGATTGTAATCATTGCGTAATGAAAAGTGGACAAATACTTCGAAAGAACTTAGTACAACAGTTGACGACCCTCAAAACTGAGGTCTGCAACTCTCTCCGTTGACGCAAATACGAAATTCCTTCTCCATATGATTTTATTCTTAGCATTACACGGAACTCAAAATAAAGTACAAAGCAACAAGAGTATAAAACACGTGTCAACAGTCTCATTGGGCCGGCAAAGTTTTATTCGATTTCCTAATATTCATGTTTCTTTTTACAATTAAATATCATTCTCTGATGATACTTTAATGCCAGTTTAAATCTCTAACCTAATTGAAATCTCTGTGTACCGTTAAAGTATTCAGAAATATGGCCACTACAAACGTTAGATTGAGCGACATACGGGTCTGTCAAAGTCAAAGATTCAAAGGATTGGAGTTTGAACTTTCTTCACTTGTCCCTTATGCGTGTACATTTTTAAGGAACGTTTCATTATAACATCATTAACAAATTACTTTAACAGTAAATTATTTCATTATTTTACTTATTTTAATGTTAATGGTGTTGCAAGAAATTATTGACCATCACTATTGTCTTCTTCTATTTATTATACCTCAAGTGATCGTTTTCGTTCGCAAAGAATTCCTTAATGGGTCTTACACGTGAGACATTCACCAGTCATAAACGAATGAAAATAAATCAGACGTCAATAAGGGCCGATCAACACTCAGCCAACGAAAGTTTTCTGGTTTATTAATAACTTAAAGTTATTGATCTGGCTTTAATCTTGTTCTATTTAAGTTTAAAAGAAATGTATGACATCTTTACTGCGGAACAACCATGCAGTGCTCTGCTGTTGTACGAGCAGGCTGGAATCGTCTGGGGCAAGGACGGCCGCGCGGCCCGTTAAACATGTTTATGCGGCCCGCAAAGCATTTCCAAAACTTTAATTTATTTTATCGAATTTGTCCCGTCAATTTAGTGTTATAAAATTAATTATAATAAAATGGTACTACATACTGAACCGAAATATTTTTTGTTCGTTTTTCTGTTCTTCTCTTGTTTGTTTTTACCTTGCATTAAAATTTGTATATGAAATCTTTACTTTTTTATTTTATATTTTTTTATTCTAATATTTATTATAAATAAAGTTTCGTAAATTATTATGTGCGGCCCGCCAAAAAAAATTAAAATTTAAATTGGCTCATTGATTAAAAAGGTTGCTCAACCCTGGTCTGGGGTATACCCGATATCACAGAATGGCATCGTAAATTAGTATTTAATTTTTTGTGGGATTTGAACCCGGGCTGCTCGAGTGTATTGAATTAAAAGCGAGCCCCCGGATACTGAGCTAGCACGGGTGTAAGCAAATACCTATTTATGTGCTTATTTCGTACTACATGGGTACCTACCTGTTTATTCAAAGTAGTATTTGTATTGATTGTTATTCAATACGCTACGTCATTTACTTTAATACTTTTTTTTGTATCAAGCATCAAAATCGACCCACTAAATTGGAGCGATACAAAGGAACAAACTGGCTGAAAAACATAAGATGTATAACCCATCGCGCAATCGAGTAAAAAAAGTTACACTGTAAAATTTTATATTGTATTTATTAGTACATGAAACTAAATTGCTTTATTACGTACTTTGTTTTGTTATTTCATAATCTTAATATATAAAAATCTAGTTTATATGTTTTTGTGTCCATAAAACTCTAAAACTAAAAAAGCAACAGCTTTGTAAACGTTACTTATTTTCTCGTGGTCATGTTAATTTGTTTTTTTTAATTTTCGAAATTATTTTTTTTGTTTTAAATTTACTTCTACCAGAATTTGAATCTTTGTGCTTTGGGATATGCGTCCATTTTTCTACAAAATATTTCAATCTCATCTTGATTGCAGACAATAGCACAATATTTCTTGTTAATTTAATTCGCTCGTGCTATTGTCTCCATCATTTAATAAGTGTTTTTACGTTTTTTTGGCAAATAAATTTAAAAAGAATTATAAACCGTTTTCGCGATAGTAAAGCCTAGACTCGGTATTTGCCTTAGGCCGCTATACAGTTCCTTTCGAGATATCGAAGCGAGTTAAAGTTTAAGCGAGATAAGCATTCTTATCCGCGCACGCAAAATGATGTTTTCAAACGCGGGTGAAATTAAATCTAAACAAATCGAAGTTATCTCTCCGCAAGCAAAATTAGAAAATATTTGAGTGTGATTTAATCATTAAAGAAAAATTTCAGTTTAAAGATAAATTAGGTACGATATTAAACATCGTAAATTAAAGCGTAAAACGATCTTGAAAATTCAACGCCGTATAGCTTGGGGAAGTATATATTTCTTACAAAAATTTCACATATTTCTATTGCTTTTGCAAATTATTGAACACATTAAAGAGGAATATATACCCATAGAGTGTAGGGAGTGTTATAAATATATAATAAAAGAAATATGAAAAGTTGGCAAGTAATTTTCACAACCACACACATTCAGAATGTATGTAATTATTGTTCAGTCACATATACTTTCTAAAAAAGTCTAAGAAGAAATAGAAGAATAGAAGGAGGAAGAGATGTTAAAAATATGATAGATAATAAATTACAATAAAATGATGAAGAAATGGAAGAATATGTTACAGCTCTTAATGTAAAAATGTTGTACAATCCAAGAAACAGACTAAAATGTTTACCTTTCAAATACAGCACCAATTGCCAATCCCTCAGGTAATGTTGTAGGCAAGTCCTTTAAAGAGTGCACAACAAAGTCAACAGAATTATTCCGCAATGCATCTTCTAAATCCTTTGTAAATAATGATTTCTCACCAATCTTTGGCAGTGATACATTTAATATTCTGTCTCCTAGAGTTGTCATTGATACTAAAAAGGAATATCTCAATGCAATCATCACATTATTAGTTTATAGTAAGAAATTAGCTGTGGTAGGGCGACGCAACAGTGTTAACTGTTGCACAAATGGCCAGGTCCGTTCAGGTTAGTTTGTGGTATTAACCCGACCCAACTTGCCTCACAGATGACCAGCGTAAAGTAGAAGTGTTACACTTCTGCGTTTCGTCTAGTGAGTGAGGTAGCCGGGGCCCACTTTATTTAAAGATGGCAACACATTGGTAAACAGTCAGCTCGTTTGCCACTTTCTCCCATAAAAAAAAAAAAAGATGTTAAAAGCAATTCTAACAAACATTTATGAAATGATAAAATGTAACAAACATTGTTAAAAATAATTTAGTTTAGCAATATTTTCTATGGAAGAATTTTAGCTTTAGAAGAATTAATACCTAATAAATGTACATGTAAGACATTCTTACCTATTTCAAATTCTTTATCAGGATAGACTTTCTTCAAACTGTCTATCACGAAATTTGTCTGTATGAGTGCCAACTGAAATGCAACAATTATTATAATTATACATATTTAGCGACATGTTACTAAAATTATGTTATTCATAGAAATAAATGTCAATTTTTTAATTATTCATACTAGAACATTTTTAAGCATTCTTATAAAACTTAAGTTTATAATAAAAATAAATTATACCTAATATTATGATAATTAGCCAAAAAACTTTGAATTTCTTACTTAAACGAAAACTACTAAGGCAACTATGAAATTTCAAAGAATACCCTGTGACATATAAGGTAATTGTTTTTATAAAATTTACTTCGGAGCGGCAGAATATCTGATTACAAAAATAGGCTGAGCCATCCACATAAGAGGAAGTACACGTAACGCGCGGTAAATGTTACGATTACAAATGAAATCAATTATTATTTCAACGAAATACAAACCTCACTTTTCCTTGATCCCACACGCACCACATTCTTATTTTCACTACCCATTGTTAGTGTAATTGAATATTAATTTTATCAGATTTATTTAAAATGAGGTTATGTTTTTCACAATTTAACAATATTTTAAACCAAAAATCTGCCACACACCTAAAACACTACTACTCACATACTTGTCACTAACACTGTAGTGGACAAATATTATTATTGAGTTAACTAATAAATATTTGAACTTCAGTCAAGTCATATTACGACCAATTCAGTCTTCTAAGTTCCTCAACTGACAAGGCAATTTAACAAACGATGACAGTGACAGTATAAACATATGTTTAAGCTGGATCAGAGAGTAAAAAAGACGTCAGAGAGTAAATAGACTTAAAACAACCCACGGACTTAGTACATAGAGAACTTCGAAGTTAGTGCACGACGATGAAATGATGGCGACGACCAACTGCAACTTTATATAAGGCAGTAGTTCACCCTATTATTACGTACGCGAGTCCAGTTTTCGCGCATATTGCTCCGAAGCAAATACACCGGGTAATATGCTTCAGGTCATACAGAATCGATTTTTGCGCAGCTACGGGAGCACCCTGGTTCATGCGCAACATCGACCTACATGTTGATTTAGAGCTGCCCACCATCGTTCAATTCCTGAAGTTGGCATCGCGCCGATACTTCGAATCCGCCACCGAGCACCCCAATCCGTTAATCGTAAGTGCCGCCATTTACTAGCCCCTACCGCTAGGTACGTTCCGCCGCAGCTGGTGAAGACTGCGACACGTCCTCGATTACCCTGACGATGAGACGACTATCGCCATCGACAAGATTAAAAAACTACGCAAGCACACTAACATACATCGCACTTGCCGGCGAGAGCGGCAAATATATACTAGCGCCACTTACCTGGCAGTTTCTCCCCAGGTAATGTTAGAAGTGTTGCTGCAGTTTCTTCCGCCACTTCTTGTATAATAATGTAATTAATAAAAATTTTAGTTAATATTGTTGTATTGTTTGTTATTTCAACTGTAAGCAATGAAAATGATTTTAGGCCTTGAAAGTTATCAAGCGAGCAGACGGTTCACCTGATGTTAAGTGAATACCGCCGCCCATAGACATCTGCTACACCCTAGGGTTGCAGATGTGTTGACAAACTTTTGGAAATTGGGCTCCGGCCACCTCACTCACCAGACGAAATGCGAAAGTATTTGTCATACTTCCACTTTACGCCGGTCTTCTGTGAGGTCGTACTTACCCGGGCGAGCCTGCCCATTCGTGCAACAGCCGAGATTGCTGTGTGCCAGTGCGAGATTGCCCTACCACCGTACCACTGGCCTTTTGAAAATTGCATATTTTAGGGCTATTTCATCTTTATTTTAGGGCCAAAATTTAAATAAGTTGGCAAGACTGCATGTGGGGGAGGACTCTCCTCCCTCACATTTCCGCTCGACTACTTTGGCTAGTGTCACGAAATTTTTGCCAAGTTCTGCATAGTCTGCAACTTCGCAACGCATTACTTTCTCGCTCTGCTCTTGCTTCATTAATTGACAAAAAGGGGTTCGGGTTTCGCAAGTCAGCTCCGCACTACTGCCTCCGCGACAATGAAAGTAAGAAACTAGCAGGGAATTCTTAATCAGATAATTATTAATAAATTGGAAAGTAAGAGAATGTGGGGTCTTCTTTATGAAAACAACAGGAAAAATACTAAAAAACATTTATGTGCATTTTACGTTAGCGTGTTATATAAGCGCAGTGGTTATTTTATCTTTAGTATATACGTCTTATCTATGCTTTTGGTAGTCATTTAGTGATCTTGGCCTGCCATATTTTTTTACTATCATAATAGTAATTAATTTGTTGTGAATTTTTTTACATTATAATTAATTTAATTTTTCATTGTCCAATCCAAAATATTTATATTCTACCAGCTCTTTATTATCAAAGGTAATAATATAATACATGCATAACAATTATTAAGACTAAATTCATGAGATAAATTTAATTACTCCATTAACATTTAATTTAAATTTTTTATATTTTATTAAATGATTTGAAAAATATAATAAACAATATTAATAATAATAAAATGCATTAAATTCAAAACAATTTCTTTATTTTCATAAAAATTAAAGTAGGAAAAATCAATCGACAGCACATCAGATGTATATGAACTATCAATTTAAAAAAATATTTTGCCAAATGCAAAAATGATTAATCATAGACTAAATGACTCGCTTTCAATATGAAATTAGCCAAAGCTTAGTAGAATTTAATTTATTTTATTTTAGAGTGATAGTTATATTATGTAGATTTATCATTGAAATGTTCAATTGTTGATAATAAGTATTAAAAGAAAATTTGTGTTTCTAAATAAAAATGTACAATAACTATGGATCAGTCCGTTTTGCTCATAATAATTAACCCAAACTTCCAAAATAATGTTTTTTGTTTATGAAAAATAATGTCTGCCTACTGAATGAGTACTTGACTTATGGTAATAAATAGAAAGTCGCAGTTATCAACTATAAATGGTCCTTTAAGGTCTAGGCATGGAAATGCTACTAGCCAGGATGTTATGAAAGCAGACTCAATCACTCAAAATCAAAACTTTTCAAGACAATTCTGTTTTGATATATTTGCAACATACAATACAGATTTATAAAAATGAACTTGAAAGTTTGAACACTTTAGTAAACAATTTGATATCTCCAAATTATTATGCACAAACTTGGATACTTAATTACTTATATCTAAGGCCAAAGCCACGCCTGTTGAAATTCTCAGGCATCCAAAGAATAATGTTATGCTTAGGCCAATGAAAATCAAATGAAATAAGAAAAATATAAATCGGGAAAACACCTTAACTACACCATACTATTTGTAGAGTATTGCGCTTCATTGTTTCTTACGTTTACTACTCCTTAACCTTCTTCGGTTTAATACCACTGTTGTATTTCTTGTTCCTGAAATTTAAAATTCTTCAATTAATTTTTATTTTTTTGTTTATGATATATAAAATTACTTTGAGGCATAATTGGATTGTATGTTAACTTTGCTTTTCTCAAAATACAAAGCTTTAAATATAGTATGGTCTAGCAGCAGTTTTGCTATTGAACAAACATCTGGTTAAGTAATATTCAGCCTTACAGAAAACTGGCTGAAGTGGAAGTATTATACTTTTGTGTTTAGTCTGGTGAATGAAATAACCTGGGTCTTTTTTTAGAGGTTGGTAATCCGTCTAAAAACACGAAAAAAAGTATAAAATGTCTATGGGTGGTGGTAATTACTTAACATCAGGTGAACTGCATATTCAGTTGTGAACTTTTTTTAATGATTGTTAAAATGAACAGATTCTACATAGGTGAAGACTTATAATGTATGAGTTTAAGAATCATATTTATTATTGTAAATTTGGTTATAAGACTCACAGAAAGTAAATAAATAATTGTTATGTGTACTCACTAGGTTTAGTTGTCTTCTTAGGACTTTTAATTTTCACTTCTTTTTTACTTGTAACACTTCTTGTTGACCGAGATGTAATTTCATCATTGGATTTTGGTATAGCCAAACTATTATTAGAAGAGGTGTCTGAAGTCTTCTCGTTAAGTTCAACAACTGCATTCTTTCTCGTCCTTCTTGTATTTGGTATCTTCTCCTTCTCAATTTTAGTTGCCATTGACCTGGTACATCTTGTTTGCCGGACTAAATCTCTATTCTCCAAACTTTGCTTCATGGCATCTTGTTTTTCTTTTGCTTCTCTTTTTTCTTTTATTTTGTGTAACCTTATCATTGCTGGGGTGTAACCTTCTAAGCCGACTGGGACTTCCTCCGATTCTTTTAATACTTTACCTGCAAGCTTCTTTTTAAAATTGGCTAAAACCTCTTTCATGGCATATGTTGGATTTAGCTTTTGTAAGTAGTCCTTTTGCATTAATGGAGACTGAATATTTGTTTCATTGCTACTTTCGTTTGATGCATTTGATAGCTTTCTGATTCTATACTTGCATGTAGTGTCATCATCATCATCATCCTCATCTGTAGTCACAGGGTTTCTCTCTTTTCTAATTATATCTTCAGGGTTACCAGCTAAGATTTCAGCCCATGTGAATTGTCTTGCTGAACCCATGAAGTTGCCAAATTTTCCAAGATTGTTCCTATGTCGTTTTGTTTCTTTACGTTTTGTTATTTGCTTTTTTTTAGATCTTAAATTCTTCGGCGATAGTTTCTTTCCAAGCACATCATGAGGCATTAAAGATTTCTTCAAACGGGCTACTAAATCAGCGTCGGATATGAAGAAATTACGTGATGCACAAGGCTTTCGAAATCCATCACTCGATATATTCAATGTTTGTTTTAATAATTCAAGTTTAAGATCATTTTCAAAAGAGCAAACATTTTCTCTCTCAAAATTTTTCTTAATACCATTCCTAGCCAGAAAATCAGCAGGAGTGTTCTTCCTTCCAAATCTTTTTGTATAGGACAATTTATTTCGACCCAATGGTGACAGAGATGCTTCTGCAAAATTTACATTCATTTCTTTATCAAACACGTACCCAACTTTTATTAACTCATTTCTAAACAAATTTCTACAATAATCGTAATCTGGTTTTTCTGTAAAATCTAAACTTGTAATGTACTCTAGATATTTTTCCAAGAATTGTGGATAAAACTCAGTCTTAAAACATGTTTTCAGTAACGATTTTATGTCACTCATAAAATTTTTCTTCAATACATGAACTAAATCTGGTTCAGCCAGAACTTCAGAGGTTTTCCAAGGTAGAGTGCCTGTTAACCAATCCAGCATGTTATAGCCAAGTGTTTCCAAGTCAGATCTTCTGGAGTGAGCACCAATATGAGAGTCCCTTGAACTATATTCAAGAGTACCATCATGAGCTTTTCTTGCATCCATTCCAAAATCTTTATGATTACCATTTGAATCTAAAAATTTTGAAGCCAAACCATAATCCAACAAATATATTTGCCCATTAGATTGAGATAATATGGCTTCACGATGAATTTGGTTCAATTCATTATCCAAACTGTTCATTTCAGCTTGCATCCTTCCATCTTGTAACTTTTCAGTTACACAAATCAATGTTTTATTACCAAAATCATCTAAAAGCTTCTGATATGATCGATCTGAGCAAACTGAACTTATGTCTTCATAATTAACGTAATTTGACAACTGTCTCAAATTAAATGCATGATGCCTATGTAGAGTTCTACTATCACGGTCAGAGAGAATCCTCCTTAATTTTTTTTTTACATTAGCAAGTCTTTTGTCTCCTTCAAAAGTCTCTTCACCATTAGAATTTTTTTCTTTTACGATAAAATCTTCATCATCATAATAGTTTGAGGGTCTAGATCTGCCACTTTTTGATTTTCTATGTTTCATTGGAAGAAGTACAACTTGTTTAGACTCTTTTTGAAATGATGATACTGGTTTACTTGCTGCTGCTTTCTCAAGTTTACTACCATCAAAGCCAAGCATTAAATTGGAACTTTTTATATCAGAATGTGTATAACCTTGCTTGTGTAAGTATTCTAATACATCTAAAATTTGGAGAGCAAGCACAAGAACATTCTTTACATCCAATATTTTTGTTCTTGCTATTATCTTTTGGAGGTCAATATCATACCTCGGAAGAACTAAAAAACGATACTTTGTACCAGTGTTTTCATCCATAATCGATCCACTTGCAATATATATTGGCATTCCAATTCTTTTTAGCTTATTTTGCTGACGCCATGCTTTCACTGAAAAAGAGGAAGATGTAAGATATATGTATATTCATCTGTAATGAAAAGGCTTACATCAATTAAGTGATAATTACCTTTAGAAACTTGCGCTGTTCTTATAAGGCAATGTACTTCAACAAACAGAGGTCCATTTGTATGGGGTTCTATCTTCACCACATACCTTGCATTTTGTTTTGTCACTTCTTTTTCCACATCATCCGATGCCAGATAAATGCGACCAAAGCTTCCCCTGCCTTAAACACAAAAACTATACTGGTAATTGTAAGAAAAAATTGTTATTACTGTTGGATAATTTTATCACATTGTAAGGATGTTTAACATACACAAATTTTAGTCAGAAAACATTTTTTTCCAATTTGGAATCAAATTCATGACCAACATCACTGAAGTCACTTGCTTAGCAATTGCGCTAACCAAGTTATTAAGTTGACAATGAGTAAAAAGGTTAAACTAAAGAATAAAACTAATTCTGTTATGTTCACAACACCTGAGGGTTTGCAGATGCATTGCCAATAACATTGTGCCCCTCAGTAAACTCTCATCAGACTAAACATGAAAGTATGATACTTTTACTTCATGCTAGTCTTTTTGTAAGATTATTTTGTATTTCCACATGTGAGCCTGCCCATTCATACAACAGCTGAAGCTGTTGGTTGGAATTATAAGCCAGTTGTATTTATTTTTAGTTTTGCATATTTTGTGGAAGAATGGGAGATTTATTTTCACCTTTGTTTCTTTTAAGTGCTATAAAACTTGCGTTTTTTTGTCCGAGTAATATTGTTTTGAACCCAGAATGTATTGTTTTCTTGATTTTACGCGAAAATTATACATATTAAATGAAACTACTAACTAACTGTGAAGGGTGGTGGTGATTCTCACCACCACCCTTCACAGTTAGCTACTGTTGGTAAATGTTTGTTACAGAGAGCACGAGGGATCTGTGACAAGGAACACCTGGCCACTGAGCCACACAATGTCAAGCAAGTGCTGCGTGACAACAAGCTCCAAATCCCGCGCCTGCGTCACAGTGACCGAGTGAAACCGGCCACAGTCGAGCGAGTGCCTGCTGTATTGCCATATGTCAGAGGAGTCACTGACAAGATTGGCTATATCTTGAAGCGTGCTTCTATTAAAATATATTTCAAGCCACCTAAGAAGATGTCAATTTTTACCATCTGTCAAGTGTAATATCCCTCTACAAGATCCAGGAGTGTACAAGCTTGACTGCGATTGTGGGCTCTCTTACATAGGACAAACAAAACGATCAATTAAAACCAGAATTAAAGAACACATAGCTGACGTGAAGCACCGACGGTTGAAGAAGTCTGCAGTTTGTGATCATATTTTAGACCGCCCCAACCACTACATTAGATTTGATCAACGGATAATCCTCGCAAAAGAACACCGATTCCTTCCAAGGATGATCCGCGAGGCTATTGAAATAAAGAAACATCCTAATTTCAATAGAGAAGATGGTTGGAGTTTATCATCTGCTTGGGATCCCATAATTTACATAATTAAATCCAAGCACACCAACCCTGCCAGACCTCAAGATACCATAAGCTCCTTCTACGTGGATCGGAATAAAAATAAACAAAATAATTGACGGTAGCCGGGGTTAACTATGACATCAAGACGTCTAACAACTTAGTCTGTCCTGTGACCATGAACGCTGGAAAGGGTTCGAAACGTCGGGAATTTAAATTAAAATAAAAAACGCGATAAAATCCGTAAAGCAGTTTCATTTAATAAGAACCCAGAATGATTTTTAAATTTTTTGCCTGTTTGTGCATTTTTGCGCGCTAATCTTAGAACTGGCTCAATTGATTTGGGTGCAACTTTCACTAATGCATATTGTAGTAAGCTTCACTTAACATTGTTTTAATTTTATTTATATCAGTTCATAAATAAAAAAGTTATATAAACTTAAAGAAACACTGAAGATTTGTGTGATAAAATGCTATATAATAGCTACAGTTGAATTAGATGAAACTATAGTTCACTATTTACAGACTATATATATACAGCGTGTCGTTACCATCGCGACAATAAATGAACACACGTCTAACGCTACTTGCCAATAATAAAAAATATTAACGTTAAACAAAATCCATAATTAAAAAAATATATTTTTCAAACAAACTAAGTAAAAAAGAAACAAAATTTGTAACATCCTATACAACTCGCGCCACAGCGTCGTATTACAAGCCTCTCCTTCTAACAGTATGTTTTGTCTCTTTTAAATTCATTCAACCCATTCATCTGCTTTGTGACCTTTACAAATGAACTTTATGTTACGCTTTTATAGGTAAGGCTGTTCTAAAATTCTTTGTTTTGGAAAATTTAATAACTCTGTAAATATTGTGGTTAAAGAATTTAAATGTTTAATACAACTTAAAAAAGTTATCCCCTATATGTGTGTTCATTTATTGTCGCGATGGTAACGACACGCTGTATATAGTCTGTAAAATGATGATGATTATAAGTTTATATAAAGTTAAAAAAAAACCGGCAAGTGTGATTCGGACTCGAGCACGAAGGGTTCTGTACCATTATCTATGAAATCGGCAAAAAAATCATGTCTGTTGTATGTGAGCCCCAATTAAATATTTATAGCAGCAACAGAAATACATCATTTGTGAAAATTTCAACTGTCTTAATATCACAGTTCATGAGATACAGCCTGGTGACAGACAGCAGTCTTAGTAATAGCATCTCTTTTTACCCTTTGTGTACAGATCCCTAAAAATAAACAGTGTTGAAACTTCCAATGTATGTTGACTATATCATGGTAGATTGGAAGTCTTTCTTAGAAATTTGTAGTTAAAAATTCTTGCACTGTTAGATTGAGGAAGGAGGTAGGGTACTTTTTACGCACTATAAATACATAATATATTACATTTTATAGTATGGTTAGTCTTTCATTATATGGTATAGCTTATTGAAACCAATTTTCAACACCTGATCTTACATTTTTATAACATCAATACTATTAATGGACTTTCAGCTATATTTGCATTTTTAAATTAAAATAAGCTTAAATTAGTATTCTTGTTACCAATAGGTTTTCCGATGCGCCATTTCTTTAACTGGACATCAGTGAAGACTAAGCCCGGGGGCAAAGCCTCGTCGTCAACGAAACTAACATCTAAACTTGAACATTCGTCAATCATCTTTGTTTTCTTTTTAGGTAACATTGAAGTTGCTTCCGATTCACTACCACGACGCGGCATTATATCTGAGAAGAAAAGGATAATTTGTACCTCAAAAACAGTAAGTGGTAACTTGCAACTGCTAATTATATAAATATATGATTTTTTTAAATTGTAAACATACGCTTACCGTTTTCATCAAACTTTGTAAGCAGTCTTTGTGCTTATTCTTACTTTTTTTATATTAATCAATAAAATTATCAGTTAAATGTAAACCGACAGGACCTAAAGTCCTGACCAAAAAGCTAAATAAATGATGATTTCATACGATATCTGTATGTGACTGATGTTTAACTTGTGCACAATTTAGTTTCACGCGGAATACACTGAAAAAATTACTTAACCAAGCTACCCAGACTATATTTTCGATTCATAACAAGTTTATGGAAATTATTATTATTACGAATTCGCCATGTTGTTAGAAATCAAACGATCGTTCATCGTTCATCGATTCTGGGTACAGATAATGAAAAAATTCAAAGTAACAGATAACTTGACTGTTAAATATTCAATCTTTTCCAACTGATATTTATTATGACATTTGCACAATTAATAATTATAATTCACCTATTTGAATAAAATTGCTTTATTGTTTAAAAATTATATGTAACAAGAAATAGAATCGAGAATATTCAGTGGGCGTTTTATTAGGTATAATTATTTATCCATCATAAATAGCAAATAAAAATGGAATCAAGATTTAATAATCACTAAATTAATATGATCACTTGATAGATAACTTTTTTTTATTAGGTTTGACATTGATAGGTTTTTAGAGCTGACGCTGACAGGATTGCCGAAGAATATTATCTTGCGGCATTTCTTCTGGTGTTCCTAAGTATTCCAAGGTGTTCCATCAGGACTTATACTCATTAGCTCATGAACTCCTATTTAAGTCGTGGGAAACTCACTGGCTACAGACTAAGAACCATACTGGCAGATATTATTATGACATACAACAAACTATTCCTTCTACACCATGGTTCTTCAAGATGAAGAATCTTAATAAATATATTTTCTACTATTTGTAGATTAAGAATAGGCCATACTATTACCCCAGTTCACCTGGCTAAACTCAAAATACGTGATAACCCTGTATGTGATTGCGGAACCGAGGATGGTACAGTGGACCATCTATTCTTTAACTGTCCCAAACTAAATATCTCCCTTTATGACGTCCTACCCACTTGTGTACCTCGTCCCATTTGCATGAAAACCTTATTAAGTATAAGAGATTATCAAATTCCCAAGCTTTTGTCTAAATTTATTTCCTATAACAAATTAAAACTATAATTTTATATCACCACAGCTTTATCTGTTTCATGTATAACACATACATGAAACAGATATCAGATCCTGTATATGACGTCCTTTTATTTCAGGTAAAACATGCTTAAAGCAGTAACCTCCGATAACTAAATTTATATTTTAAAACTGTCATTCCCCTATGTGTAATGGCTAACAACTTGACATTGGCGGAATTGTGATAACTCACAAAGCAAGCCATTATTAAGAAGAAGAAGAAGAATTATCTTGCGGAACAACCAACATGCCGATTTTTTTTTAATAAAGACTTTGACTTGGATTGGTAGAACAAGCAGATTTTGTTAATAAAGATTTCAGGGATTGGTACAACAAACTAAGTTGAGAAACCATAATGTTTTTATTGTTACTAGTTTATTTTCATAATGGTAGTTTTTTTAATTATTTATTAGTTTATATTACTATTTTTAACTGTTTACAGTATGAAGTATAGATAAGGAGTTATATCTCAATGCTACAATAATATTTTTTACTATTGATATTTTATACGCATACTAAATCACCGGTCGAAAATTGTAAAATTTCCAAAGAGAATAATAGCATACGTTCACACGTTTAGTTCCAATGCTACAAAAAGGATAGCGGCCGATAGCGTAATTAAAACAATAAGACAAAAGAGGGCGGCTACTGTTTGTTACTTTAGCTTTAAATTTCCAGGTGTATCTGTCTTTTTCGTCACCGTATTAAACTTATTTGCTGCTTCTTTCTTTGTTTGCCACAAAAACGTCCCCAGTGGGACGTTTTTGAGGCTTCACTCCGGACGGTGACAACAAATCTAAAGTGTAAATATCATTGCAATGTATAGAATATGTCCATGAAACAGAACATATTAAGATGGCGTGGATGTACTAGTTTCTTTGAAATGTAGTAGTTCTACATTTCAAAGAAAGCGCTAAAATTGTTAGAACAGGACAAAAATAAATTAAAATGATTGATATTTGGTCTGTAAATGCTTTTATGCATAGACCAATATACTGTTATTACCAATATACTGGCTTTTATGCTTTGAATTATTATAACAATTTAACATTCGATGTCTAAACTAAATTAAGATTTTAAAATAACAACTTTGAATTTTTTCTATGCATTTTAACTTTCACATAGGCAACTTCACATTTATTTTCTGACAAAACTGATAAAAAAGCATGCTCACATGTACTAATTTACTCGAGTATGATACAGTGGGTCTACTACCGTTGTCTTCAGTTCTTTTCACAGAACACTAATATTCTCACGAGTATGGGTCTTTTATGCTACTACCTCTTGGAGAAATTCTGATTTCTGCTCACTCTTTGAAACCTTATCATGTACATTTTTGTGGACACTTCTTAAGAGTAGGCAATTGGAATGAAAGTCAAATCTTCATTACTCTTTAATACTTACAAAGTCATTTTGTTAGTTATTCGAAATATTTATTTTATTTTCATTTTTTAAACAAGTCTCAATAAAGTTAAGTAACAATAACTATTTACAAGCATTTTTATCTGCAAAGGATATATTGTTTAGGTTAAATATTGTAGGGCATACCGTCTGTGATGATTTTTATTTTTTATGCATGAGCATATTAATTGATACCTATGTGTAAACTTGGAGTGGGATTGGTTTGCCTGGTTTTTGAATAAAACATTATAAACGATTAATAAATATAGCACAATATCAATGTGGCTTTGATTAACAGTTAAAAACAGTTTTTATTAAATACAATAACGATTTAAAATAACGTATACAGTAAAACCCTGTAGGTATTATTTTATAAACTAACCTTATTAGAATTACATACATCTAAAATCTCTATTATGGATTATGTATTGCAACAGCAAACGTGCGACGGAGGTGCCACGCCACGATTCACATTAACAAATCTTTTTCATTTTCATTCACGAGTGAGTGTCGGTGCGGGCGGTCGTGTAGATGCCGGTCTACGGTCGCGTAAACATCGAGCGCGATGTATTTTGTTTATCAACAAACATAAATTTCAATCAAATTATGTGTTCGTGAATTAAAAAGTTTGTTTTTGTGTTTGCCTGTTTGTTTTATGCATAATAAAATCATACACTGGGATAATGTCGAGTTAGAGCATGTTGCACGAGTAGCTCGAAGATGGACGGGGCGAATGCTGACTCGGACCATTCTATGACTTGGGAGGACTTTTTCGGTTCGTATTAACATGCTTTAGTTTTATTTATGTTTTTAATTTATGGAATAAATATTTTTGGACGAAAACATAACCATCAAAAAGAATACTGTTATTGTTTGAAATTATAATTATTCACGTTATATTAAATCTTATTACTACACTCCCTACTACCTTTATGTTGTAGTTATAAAATGAATACAGGTTTTAAAGACAGGATAGATACTAATGTCAACAAACGTAAAATAATAAAATTAAAAGTCCAGAATGCCGTCTATATGAATTTGCAGCCGACTAAGGCAAAGGACAGGTTTGTATAACATTTCCTCATAAGGCAAGTAGAATTGCGTTTATTGCTTGCTCTTCTTGAATTGCAACAAGATAATATTCTCATCCACTGTTTTGCAAGCTATTCATTGGAATTGGATTATTCTTTTATATTATATACCTCTAAATTGTACCTTCTTAGTGCCAAACAAATCATTTATTTAAAAAAAGAAGTTTCATGTTTCGTATACAATATTATTATTTTTTACAGTTACGGCATATTAAGGGTAAAACAATTAAAGTTGGACGTTTTACTGTACTTAAGTATTTTCTTTGCCATTTTGACAAATTTGTATCCGGGTAATCCGATTCTAATCCTTGACAAGGTTGTAAGTTTAAAATAACTGTACACAAATTTTGTATTTGGGTAACATTTACACCTAATCACTTTAATACTCAATCTGTCTTAATTTTGTCAAACATTTAGCAACTTCTTTTTTTTTTTAAACACTTATACTTTTCGACTATTATGCAACAAGACCGCGATCTGTTTGCATACACACATCTGTTTGCATATACATAGGTAATTAGATTTTCGAAGGAAAGTCCTTCTCAGGAACCACTTTATTCATTTTCCTTTTATTTTTTCAGGCAGTAAAGGCTAATTTAGGAACAGAGAGAATTATCGTCTTTGTTAAATACCGTGGTCTTATCGAAATTCTCGTTTGCACAAAATGCATAATTATTGTTGTCCTCCTAAGCGTGCTTTCATGTTTTACTCCTTCGAAGTTCAGGCAGAGGGGTGTTAGAACTTAACGTGTTTGTGTATTTGCTTTGTATTATATACTTGTCTATTAATCAAAGTGCATTAGTCTACGGCATCGTTCCTCTCAAACTGATTGATCAATTATGATTTATTTTTCTATTTTACAATGTATGACTTATATTATTTTTGCTAAATTAGACATTGGGGTCTTTTTTACATGTAATAGGTATATATGTATAATCGATGTATATAGTTACGCGAATCGTAATATTTCGATATATGACAGGTCCTAAATTCAATAATGCAAAAATCATAGACCCATTAATATTGATGTGCCTCCGGAAAACATACAGCATTGTTTATGAAGAAGCAGCGTATACTTAGCCATATAAGTGCGGTCCGTACTCTTGACGATAAAATAAAGATGGCGGCACTTCCGCCACAGGTGTCAGGTGTCCCAGCTAGGACGAG